AAGTGATGGTGATGTCGAAGTAAGGTTGTGTGACACGTAGCGCTTCACAGCTGGACGAGCTGGACGAGCTGGGAATGGGATAGCTTGGCCCAGAAATCGAAGCGGGGGACATGTAGTTGCTTGGGGCTTCGGAAAGTTGGGGGGAGAGGGGAGACCATGATCCATGACAAGGGTTCTCAGTTGGTTGAAGATTAACAAGCAGATTTGGGGTTACGGCGTAGCTACTGGCTACTGTAGCTAGCAGGCCTCATCACCAGAAGTTCGTGAACATGTTGTTCATGATGGGGGTCATGCGTGATCAGTAATTTCCACTTGAGCTTGGTACCGAGTGAGTGGTCAATTTTGGACAACTTTGAGGTAGGTTGTGAGGGGAAACCGGGGAGGAGGGACAGATGGTCGCTCTTGCTCGTTCGGGGTCCGTTCTTTCACGTGGTGTGGTGGTTGGGTCCGGCTCGGGGAATCAGCCAAAACACCACCATCACGGAGAACGCGGAGGACGTTTACGTACTCGATACTGGTCGTCAGGGATGAATTGGGGTCTGGCAGTTGAAAGTGTGGGATGGGCCTGCCGAACCAGTGCATTAGATACCTTTACCGGCTACAATGCAGTATTGCAGTATTGCAGTGCTGCGGTACTCTGAATGACCTCTCTGTGTAACTTGTGCCATGTCTGACAGCATCACGCACTTTGCATTTGTGACGGGACATAAAAAGAACAACGGTTGGTCCCAATGTACAAAGCTAAGGTCAAAATAAAGTTGTGTCGCTTGTCTAATTTACCGAAGGGTTGGGATCTCTGAGGGGAAACTGAACCGAGAGAAATTTGTGGACGGATGATTCTCATGTGCCGAAATTGCAATTCACCACTGCGGAGTTGTGCGGCTCAACAACACTTGTCCGAGTTGACCTGTCCGTCTGTCGCGTGAGCACATGCCATATCGAAAAGTTCTTACCAGTCTTGTCAATGGGAAAAAGAGGCGGGCTGGACTCGCGGCGCCTGTCGGGGCCGTCTTGGCCGCTTGGCCGGTTCCTAGTTCCTGCTAGCATCGGGAATGGAACAACAGCTCCCCTTCTTTTTCCCCCATTTCTTGACCGCTTTCTGGGCTTCCAAAAGCGAAATCCACGGCCGGTTCCATCCATATCGGAGTCCGTTGTGGAGAGCCACTCCGGAATCCAATGCCCTCAAAAAAGGTCAGTCGTGCCGCTGAGACTTTCATCCCCCCACCTGTCGTTTCGCCGAGGTCAACGTCGTACATAGAAACCGGGGACGACGGAGGAGACGGCGGCAAGCGGCAGTGCATCATTGTGAAGGACGATCGTCGACCATGAACGAGAATGGACTGTTGTTTGTTTGAGGCTGGAAATCAGCAAATGACATCACGGCTTACCACTTCTTGGCCTGTGCCAAGCCCGTGTGCACAACTTTTTGTGAAGCCGTCGTGACATGCGGCAGATTCTGCATTTCCAATTGTGTGGTCCACCGTCCAACAGTTGCGAAATTGCCAGCAGTTTGTTTCGCCAGTCAGTTCAGTTCTTGTGTTTCTTCGGTCCAGAACCTCCACCCAGTCCAATCGATAAGCTTTCGTGACATTCTGGGCAGTGGGTTTACATTATTTTTTTTAGACGAAGCATCCTTGCAAAACCTTCGAGCGACGAGTCGGGGACTCGGGTGGTCTGGTGGACGCCAAGCAGTGCGGTCTTGCGGATTCGGCCCCACATGTCAGGGTCTGCCCCTCATGCTGAAAGGTTGAAAGAGTTCGGTGGCGGTTTCAACCAATCATCGACACACGTGGGCGGTCTCGACGGCGTGAATGGCAATCCACCAAAAAGCGACAAGTCCAGGCGCCGCGAAACACAGCTGCCAGCACTCCTACACTAGAACTCCCCAGCAATCCCCAGCGACGCACCAGGCACGTCGAACAAGCAGCGAGCTAATCTGCAGGCTGATGATCTGAACTGCATTCGACTGCATTCGCTCCCACGCTGCACGCACAGCGCACTCCAAAAATGATGCAGCCAAGAAGATCTTGCAGCCTGGGGCGAACGGGGGGGGGGGAACAGTGAACAAACTCCGTCCGCCGTCGCCGCCGCCCGCAGTCCGCGCATGACTCCATTGTGGTTGGCCGGCGAGGCTGGTAAAGTCAACAAAGGGTAAAGTCAACAACATGCCATGTGTGGGGCAACCTCGTTTGGACGCGGTTGAAGGAGGAAGGAGGGCACGAGGGCACACTCTCGGCGACATCTCTGGGCATCTCTGGGCATCTCTGGGCATCGTGACAGCCAAGAATAAAAAAAGAACGGAACGAGAAACGAAAAGGTGTCGCGTGTGTGTCTTCCTCTTCGGGGGATGGTCCTCCTTTCTATCGTTTCTTGGTATCTTGGCCTCGACGACCTCGCATCCACAATTCGGCCGTGCAGCAACGATATCCAGGAGGTCCTGGAAGAGCTGGAGTCAAAAGTATACGTTGAGGAATCCATCGCGGGGTTCGAGGTCGATCGAGGTCGGTGTCGTGTGTCGTCTGGCGTGTGCTCTATCACCAAACTCGGCCTGGTGGCGGTCCTCGATATCATCCCTTGGCGGTCGTGTTGCCAAAATGACTCGCAGTTGTTACGGGCGGGTGCCAATGCGGCTTGGAGAGAGTTCTGCTGTCGTCGTTGGTTGGCTGCCGAGGCTGTCTGCTTGAGGCGACAAAAGCTTGACCTCACTTCCAACTGTTTGTTCTGTTTCAACCAGAATCAGTCGTTGTCGGGTTGAAACAAGGAAGCTTCAGCACCGCCGCTGTGGCACCCAAGATTCCAATATCTTAGAACACTATCGCTTCATGCCGTGCCCCCCGCTGCGTCACTGTTAGTGGAATTGCGTTGCGCTATGATGTCGACAGTGATATCAGCCCTGGACTTGTTAGTGGGCGCGGCGAGCGAACATTGTCCGTCCCTGCCTTTTCCGCACAGGCCGTTGTTGATCGATCGCCTCCAATTTTTGCAATTTTGCGGGAGCCTTTGACACGATCCTCTCATCCGTCCAGGATCCCGTCACAAGGAAACCCACCTCCAACGGTTCCAGGTGACAGGGTGAACGAGACTGATGGTCTCACAAGATATAGACAAGCAGCCCTTTTAAGAACCTCCTCAAGAATACCCATTGGCTTCAGCTGAGACCGGCATCTTTTCCTGTGATGCCAGAATACCGTATCCAATGCATCCAGAGGGGAAGAAAAAAAACCAATGCCGGAAGCCCACGGGGAAACCGATGTCAGCGGTCAGGGTCTGCAACCACTCCAAGGAATTCGACTGCTCCATGAGGCCCCGTTCATGGTACCTCTGTAGGAATTGGAGATTGAGAAGGAAAAATTCACGTCTGCCAATGGCAGTGCTCGATTCGACCACGATCTGGCCAATTCAAGGGCCATTCCTTCGGGAGTTCGGCGTGGTCATTTGCGCCTGCCCCCTGACCTTTGGTCAAAACATGTAGCTGTACCGCTCCTGCCCGCTGAATAATGGTGCAGCGACAGGTACTGCTACCCCTCCACTCCTCCAGCCTCCCCGCCCACCAGTGAGCCCACAGCCGCAGGTACCGAATACCTCTGGATGGGATCTGGGTACCTCTAGCTCCATCTGCCCCTCCAGTCTCCAGTCTCGCTCCTCCAGTCCCTCCACCAGTCCACCACACAAACCTCCACCCTATCCCAAATCAGAAAGAGACGGCTGGTATCCCAAGTACCATTCCCAAGCTCTTCCATCCAAAGTCTTGGCTCTTGCCATAAGAACTCACGACGGGTCCCGGCGTTGTGGCCACCGACTCCCATATCCATATCTTTTCCTCCCAGCGCCCTTTGTCCTTCTTCCTTCTCCATCATCTGATCTGATCTCCAGCATCAACACACCTGCTGTGCTGTTGGTCTTGGGATCTTGAGCAAGAAGACAACCCTCCCCCGTATCTCCTTGTTGACGCCTTCCAAGGACCTACCTACCTACCAAAGGGGAGCCAACCTTATACCTACTTTCTGATATCTTCTCCCCATCTTCGCAACCTATTTCTCACTTCATATACCCCACCCATATACCACAACCACTTCAGATCTCCAACATGGACGACGACGTAATACGTCCCGACGTTCACCACGACCCTACGCCGGGTCTGATCCCCGTGCCTCATGGGCCGGCCACCGGTGACGAGGCCCTTCAGCTTCCCTTCGGCGCCACCCCCGATCCAGACCACGAGAAGGCCATCTTCTCCTACCTCACACACCCTGACGACATCTACACAAAAGACGGCACCTACTGGGCCGACCTTCCCTTGCGCGAGAGGATAGCCTTCGTCAACAAGGTCCAGAATGAGGAGGCGAAGCAGGAGCTCAAGGCCATCGGCCGCATGATGAAGAAGGACCCTCTCAGCCCCGTCTCGTGGTACTTCCGCAACGCCGTTCTTCCCGGTGCCGGTCTCGGTCTCGAGGGCTACGTCCTCTTCAGTATCGGCAACATTGAGCCTCTCTTCAGAGCCACCTGGCCGCAATGCTGGGGTCATGAGGCTACCGTGTGCAGCAGCAACTGGATCGCTGCCGTAACATATCTCGAGGTTATCGGTATCATGGTTGGCCAGTTGGTCGTTGGTGTCATTGGTGACTGGATTGGTCGTCGCTGGGGTCTCATCCAGGATGCCGCCATCATGTTTGTTGGTTTGCTCATGCTCACGGCTTCTTGGGGTTTGAACCTCCAGGGCTGGGTTATCTGCTATGCTTGGTCTCTCTTCTTCTACGGTACGTTCCTTCCAATCGTGCAAAGTCGCAGTACGCGTGAAACTAACAGGATTTGCCTCTAGGTTTCGGTGTTGGTGGTGAATACCCCATTACTGCTACTTCCTCCATGGAGGACTCCGTCTCGTCCGGAAAGCTCTCTACCAGAAACGATCGTCTTCATCGTGGCCGCAAGGTTACTACCGCCTTCTTGATGCAGGGTTGGGGTCAGCTTATCAACCAGGCCCTCCTCATCATTCTCCTCCTCATCTTCCACGCCGGTAGCGGGTCTCCGCCTTATGGCACCACCACTGTCCAGTGGACGTTCAGATTGTCGTTTGCCATTCCAGCCGTTGGTACCCTTTGGCTCGTCTACTACAGAACCTACAAGATGCCCCACGCCAGCCGACAGCTTATTGCTGCTAAGAAGAAGAGCAACGTTACCGGCTACGATTACGACTCCCTTTCCATGACCACCAGACATTTCGGCGGCCGTCTCCTCGCCACCGCTGGCTGCTGGTTCTGCAACGACGTTTTCTTCTACGGCAACAAGCTCTTCCAGGCTCAGTTCATTTCCGTCATCAGCGGCGGCTCGAGCTCCGTTATGACCGGCTGGATTTGGAACTTGTACAACGTCATCATCTCCCTCGTCGGTTATTATTTGGCCTCCCTCCTCATGGACAACCGCTTCTATGGCCGCAAGATGATGCAGCAAGTTGGTTTCCTCATGTGCTTCATCATGTTCGTCATCCCCGCCTTCAAGTTGGAGTACTATACCAGCCCCGCCGGTATCAAATCTTTCCAGGCCATGTACTTCCTCTCCAGCTTCTTCAACCAGTTCGGCCCCAACAGCGTCACCTTCCTCGTCGCCGGTGAGGTCTTCCCGACTCCCATCCGCGCTTCTGCCCACGGCTTCAGCGCCTGCATGGGCAAGGCCGGTGCTCTTCTCGCCTCCGTTCTCTACAACTACATCGACACCCAGACCAAGTTCTACGTTGTGCCTTGGTTCGGTCTCGCCGGCATGGTCCTCACCTGGTTGTTCCTCCCCGACACCACCGGTCTTGACCTTAAGGAGCAAGAGCGGAGGTGGAGCTACATCCGCGCCGGCAAGGCCGAGGACTACCACGGCATCGCGATCCACCCCATGCATCTTTCCCTCTGGGAGCGTCTCCGCGGCGTTGGCAAGCACTACAACCCCGAGCTCGATCACAAGCAGAAGATTGAGGATATGCGCGAGGAGTGGGCTGGCAAGGAGCGCATGCGCCGCGAGAAGGAGGTGAACGGCCAGAACCATGGCGACGAGCTCGAGGAGGACGACTTCAACGACCAGGTCCACCACTACTTCCGTAACACCACCGACCAGGGCATGTTCGTTAACGACGGCACTCCCGGTCCCAGCAACCACTCGAGGTCGAGAACCAACAGCAGCGCGCCCCCCTTCGCTTCGGGCGCGAACTCGAAGGAGGCCGTCACGAGCGAGAAGGTCCGCCCCGCAAGCCCTTCGACGACACAAAGCCCGTCTTCGACAAGGCCTGTGAGCGAGAAGGAGCAATAGAGTTAAGGGATGAGCGGTGGTATTGGTGGGGTTTTGCTTTTTTTACTTTGCATGAACCAAAGAATAACAACAAAAATGTTAATGGTAAACGAGAACGATACGATGACTCAAAACAAAAGGGATGGATGGGGTCGAAGGAAAAACATGGAGAGCCGGACTGGACATGGATATGAAGTCCTGGACGTGGGATGGAATAAAGTTTTTCCCGCTTTTTTTTTTTTCCTTTTAAAGGCGGGCAAAGCAGGCGGGCGGGCCTGGCTTTTTAGCATTTTACTGGCGTATTACTTAATGTATCATGATACCTCGAACGCAGAAATGATTTTGGATAACTTTCATGGTTCCTCGATTCCTCTGGGGGTTTGTGACATGCATGCATGTAAGGTGTGATGACGTCTCAGCGAAACACAGGTGTCTGATCACGCAGGTATATTGGCAGGCTTGTTTCCACAGCCGATATTCGTCAAGATTGAATGTGAGAACTATCAAAAATTTCCAAAATTCAGTTGCCAGGTATGTCCAAAGATCGCGAACCCGAAAACTCCGGGCCATGACCCAAACATGGTATCCAAAATAGCCAGAAATATGACCAATACGCCCTTACCTATATATGACTCTACCATCGCATCGAATTATCCCCCCCTCCCTGCCTCTTCCTTCCACTCTCCTGTTCACCTCTTACCCATTCCCCTCCAACCCAAACATGGCACTAACAACATCCCAATCCCAAACCGCACTCGGTTCCACATCGCTCAAGTCCCTAATCCAATCCACGTACAACTCCACCGTCTCCTTGATCTCTATCTCGAACCTCTCTCCTCCGCACAGCGTATCCTTGATCTTGGTCAAGATCGGAAACTTGTCGCTCAGCACCATATGCAGGATAACCAAGATGCCAAAGAATATCTGCGTGAAGAAGAAGGGACAGGGCACGAGCCGCTTGTGCAGACACGTGGGCGACATGGCGATGGGCCATTTCAGCGAGGCCTTGAGACACTCGGCGGCGCCAACGGCGTCGTCTTGCGTCGTGGCGTCCGGGTGGTGCAGGGCTTTGTAGAGGAAGGGGCGGTGGATGAGGTATTTGGCGTAGTAGTAGCGGGAGCGGAGGAGGGCTACCTGCACGTCGTGGGCGTACGGGTAGCGGACCGGTGGAGCGTCGAGGTCGGCTGTAAACATGTGAGGTTGGGGCACCGGTTGGTGTTGTTGGAGGCCGAGGCCGGAGTTGAGAATTGGGTGTCCGTGTGACAGCTGCGGGGAGCGGAGGCCTGAAGCTGTGACGCTGGCGATGGATTGAGGCATGACGTTGCTCGGCATGGAGGCGCCGCCAACGGCCGAGCTGACGGAGCTGATTGACATGGTGCCTGTTTGGGGAGTGGGAAGCATGGGTGAGATGGCCGGAGTGCTGTTCGTTGTCGTGGTCGCCGTTGTCGTAACGGGGCTGTAGATGCTTGGACCGTTGTAGGTGGTTGCGCTTGACGGAAAGGCGCCGGGTGTGTTTTCTTGCCACTGTAGGTTAGGGGGCAGATAACCGCGCCAGCGCTCGAGGTCCGTTGCCATATGGCGGATCGTCTTCGGGGTGCTGCTACTACTGGGAGCGGTGGTGTTGTATGGTGCTGTTTGGAACAAATGCGTTAGAGAGGGTTGAGCAATATATGCTAGTGATCAATGGAAAGAGGGGGCCATACACCGACTGAGCGTCCCGTGGAATTCCACAAGCAACCGCCTAAGAGCAATGTGAGACGCGAAGTGCTCTTGGTATTGCGTCTCCTGATTGCTGATGTAATCGTCTCTCGAGGAGCAGGTACTAAAGTCAGGGAGGGAAACTACGTTCTCCATCTTCTCAAGTCCTGTGAGTGGGAACCCCAGCTCAAGGTTGAGGCAACTGGAAGCTGTTGATTAGTTTGGGTTGGCATTATCAAGGCAGGGCCGGCACATACGTTTCCATAACGGCACAGTGCCAAAATGCTCTCCTAAGCAAGTCTGCCTGTGGACCAGAGAGCGAGCCTGGGCTACTGGGGTATGTTAGTTTTGCATCGCGGACGAATTCAGGGAATGATATTGACGTACATCATGATCAAGGACTGGCAGGCCAGCGAGGCCTCTCTGATCATTTTCCAGAAACCCATGGGATATGAGCAAGTTGCGCAGTAGGTACTGTGCACGTGTTGGTTAGAGAGACTGACGACACAGGAGCTCAGACCGGGGTGCTTACCTAGCCAATGTGTATGCCTGTACCATCTCGAGGCTCGTCTCAGTAACACTGAACCCCAAACGTTTCCTCGCTTCGTTGAACAGCGTGATGCCAGGTGGGTGGTTTTTGGAACCTCCCCTCATGCCACTCGGCCGTCCTCCATACGCGTTGATGGGTGGGCCCCTATAGCTGGCCAGAGCAACCTCACCTAGGGCAAAGACAAGAAAGGCGATGGTGGACGTCAGTGTGTGATCGACTCCGTTCTTGAACAAAGTCGGAAGAATTTGAGTTAAGAAAGAATGGCGGTCCAAGATGGGATGCAGGAGGTTGACGGTGTCGAAGTAGGCCTTGGTCAACGTTTGCATAATATCCCAGTCCAGTCCAAAGGCTGATAAGGGAGCCAAGACAGGTGCGGGGTTGAAGTTGTCGCCATCTTGCAGGCTCATGGGTATGGTGTGGTTCCCTGAGAAGTGAGAACCAAGTGCTATTGCTGGACCTTCACGCGCAATCGACTTGAGGTCTCGGTTAAGGCATTTGGGCTGAATCGCCGACAGGTGAGCTTGTATTGCCGGCCACGCCAGCATCTGATGCGCAGCAGACACATATTGGTAGTGATTCTCGGTGAGCGAGGCCACATTGGGAGGCTCATGAGGCACCCCATCAAATAGTCCTTCTGGCGAACGGTGGTGCGCTACGGCAGGATGTGTTCCGTGGATGCCACTGGAATGGCCAGTGGATATGGTGAGAGGAGGAGTAGGGACGAACTGGGTTGCGGTACCGGAGTTGGTGTTTGGATGACATGTGGCCGACAAATGGTCCATGCGCGAACTCAAGTGGTCAATCTTGTCCTCAAGGACATTGAGAACATCTAGGACCTTGAGCTTGTCAAGGATTTCGACCAACGTCTTATCCTTCCTGGCATCCGTGTTAGGTTAAGACATGTCAGGTGGTGTGAGGCGTGGACTTACTTTGTAGGCTGTGGTTCCCTGTAGTGACACTCGACGTTGAATCGCTGGCAAGTGCTGCACTTTGGTCTTTGCTCGTCACATTTCTGCTTGCGAGCCCTACAGGTATCACAGGCCTGGGCGGCGATGGCACCGCGCTCTTTCCTCAAACTTGTGCCTGGCAAGGGCGGTGGATTAATATTGATTGTGCCACTTGAGGAGGCTGGCGAGCTTGTCTGATGAGGGTGAGCCGAAAAGTTATTCATGTTTAGGGGTTGCCTGCAACAGCTGCACCCGAACAAGGAACCGGGTGGTCTTGCCCGTCCTGCCCCGAGTCCGAGCGGTGCCGAAGGGTTTGGTGAGGTGACGGTTGAGCTACCGGTGCTCGGGAGTCTGGAAGAGACCGGAAGCCAGCAAAAAGGGGCTGGTTAGAAAGACCCGACCGCAGAGAACCCCAGGAAAACACAAGGCCCTTCAGCTCTATCTGCGTGGTATCCTTCTCGGTTACCTTTGCCGTGGCCTCTAACAGCCTATTGGATGTGGACGTGTGGGCTTTGAAGGGGGGGGGCACGAGGCTCTCCAGATCTGTTGGTAAGAAACGAGAGTGCGGAGTCGGACCGGGTTTTCCTGTTTGGGAACTGACAGTAACTAGTCGAGGTTGGGGGTTTGTGGAGCGAATCGGCGATGAAGTGCAGCGAATATTGGGCGGGGAGACGGGAGCTGTATGGTATGTAGTAGGTAGGTATGGTGGATTTAGGGATGTGTGGTGTAGAGCAGGTAACCTGGGTGCCGGGCAGTGCAAGAAAAGGAAAAGTGAGATATGGAAGACACGAGATGTAACTGCGGGAGCGATTTGGAACTATTGGATGCGAATCCGGGCGGGGGGGGGGGGGTGGATCGATAGTAGTGCGGTAAGTAGAAATTGTTTGGGCTACCTTGGCTACTTGGTCGGGTTTGGGCTCTGTATACTCTTGATTTTTCCTTTGATTTGCATGGTTGGGCTGATGGCAGTGACCGTGTTGACTATGATGCTGAAACTGGGACACGACTGGAATGGACGGGTGGGTACAATAGCTTGAAAGCCACCCGGCTGAACAACATAAAGAGCGGAAGCAGGAACAGGAACGAAATAACATGGATGGGAGGCCACGAGACCACTCCGTGGCAGGTTGCCAAAGAACCAAAGTTCAGGTATATGAAAGCTTTTCGACAAGATCGGACAGTGAAAAGAGGATGCGCATCCTGCGAGATGGAAAGGAAGCGGGAGGGCCGGGCGGTTCATCAGTACCGAGAACTGCTACTGTTTTTGGCTCCAAGCTGGTTCCATGATTGTGACGAGAGCCTTGTCGATGGGTCTAATGGGCTGATGGACCCACTGGCCAGGCACACTGCACGCTTCGACTTTGCAAAATGTCGATGATGGCCGATGGATGGGCATCATCGCCATGGAGATCCCGGGCCTCTGCAGATAAAGCGACCCGGGGAGAAGGGGCGAGAGGACGTTTGACAGCCAGAAAATTCCAAAGCTGAGGCCAATACAGCTGGCTGCGGACCATTGAAAAGTGCAACTGGGGAAAGGGCCAGACTGGTTGCGGGCGCCTGAAACCCAATTCGCAGGGAAGAGAGGAGCAAAATGAGCTGAACTGTCGCGCTTGCCAATGTCGTCAACGGGATCTTGAAAAAAGTTGTGGTGGCAGTTGACGTCATCGGACAGGGGAAAAGGGTCCGTACCTACCTACGTAGCTTACTTATATTGGAGGGGGGCACGGATCATCTCCGCCAACCGGCCCCCCAGTCATCCCAGTGGCAGTCCTCCTTCCTGAAGAGCCCGCGCTCCAGTTGCATCACACCTTACCTGTCTCGGTGCACCGCAATCAAATGACCGACCCCCAAATATGACATCCCTCCTTCCCTCGCTGTCACTCTGCGTTGCGTGCCTGACAATTTGTCCTTTCACCCATCAGTGCCTGGCGCGGCGGTCCCTCAACGACTGGACTGTGCTTTCTGGTTCCGTGCCAATCGCCGGTCTCTGCGATCTTTGGGGTTCGCGGGGTGGGCCAAATTAGGCCGTCATCTGACATCTCCAGTGAGTGTCGCAGGGCTCGATTGAAGAGCCTCAACAATCCAGGCACCTTGCTGAAACTCAACGCTTTGTAGAGCAGGCAAGGAACCCAGAAGGGAAAGAGGATCGCTGAGAGAAAGCATGTTGGGCGGGCGAGGCACCAGGCTCCGGATTTGGGAAAAACATTTCACAAAAGAAAAGGAAGGAGTGACGTGACGTTGGGAAATTAAGCTGCTTACATCAGCAAATCACACACACTAAACTAGAATGGGACAAGTGCGGTCAAACTGATACCCCACATACGTACTTTGAGAGGAGCCACAAACACCCCTAACCCACAAGAGGCACTTCTCCTGTGATCTCCTGAAAACCCCGGCCTTGATTGAACACTTCCTGCACCTCATCTTCTAGACGGTCGGGAGTGCCTGACGATTCCACCTTCCTGCATCATTAATCTGCCTTCACATGCTGCCATACACCGCGCTCCTATTATGCAACTGGTTGTAGTGCTTACCGGTAAGGTACCCAGGCAAATTGCGACCCGGATTATCCTCTGCTCCAGACAAACATGAGCATTCCCGCCACTTTCCATTCGCCCCAAGCAATGTCAAGTAGTAAGATGTCGGAAAATGTGGCATTTTTATTCTTTCGAGCAATGAGACGCGTTGAAAAACTAAGAGGGGAACAATCAGTGCTAGGCAACGCTGAACACTGACGTACTTGCCAGCCAGCGGGCTGGTTCGGCACAGATCCCGTCGTGGAAAGTGCAATCTCATTTCAAAACACCACAGCCAGCAAATCGAATTCGAACATCGTCTACCTGATTCAAACCGGCACCTGTGCGAATGCCAAACCAAACCCACCACATGCATCGTGTGCGTACCTACCTTGTTTGGGGACCAGATATGCGGCACGCGATCCAGAAAACTGCGAACGACGTACAAATCATCATGGGGGAAGATATTGCAACCATGAGGGTAGAAAGATTAACCTACAGGCGTGTTGGATACTAGGTTCCCTTTGAGACTCTGCCATCATGGAGTGTTCCGGAATGGGCGGTATTAGGAATGTGAGCTCATCATATGAAAAGGTTGCACATCCATTTATTTTCTTTGACTCTCGCTTCTCATGTCTCTCATCTCTGCAGAGCAAGAACAGGCGAGGCGATGTTGGACACTCCATAGAATGATTTTCGTCAGCATAACCGCCGCCGAAAACGAACCATCAAGCCCGAGCCGAAACCCGAGACAATAAATAACGTTTCGAAATATGCACAAGCGTACATACATATACGCATGCCGGACTCGTTGTAGTGGATTTTTTCCATTTTACGGTGTTTCCGGACTTATATTTGGCTGCATGGCTGAGAAGTCAGGCTCTCGCCCCCTTGATATGCGTGCGACTTGCTGCATATAGTCCACTGTGATCGGACCTCGAGGTCGAACATCCTCATTCCTGAAAGGATCTAGACGGCAAGCGTTTGAGGCGTGCTGTCAAGGCATGAATGGCTTCATGATTTCAAAAAAGGAGTTGCTAGGACGGAGCATCGGAAATATTGGCCGAGTCGGATGAACAGTGCAGTGCCAGACACTCGCATGTTACCAGATGCCCAGGGAGCTTGAGTTATCAAGATAACAGCACGACAAACTACGTTTGCCCGACTAGCCGTGGGTGTGTGCTTTGGTCTTTGGCACGCACACCCACTCTGTTCTCGCATAACTCGAGACATCGATGCAAATTGAGGAGGAGGAAGTCGGCCAGAGGGTATGGTTCCGTTCAAGGCCATGGCAAAAGACCAGGTCTGTTGGCATGTTCCTCGAAGAGATTCCTGACGTTGAAACGCCAAACCAGGATATATTCCCAAGACCATGTTGGGACACTCCGACTTTCTGGACCAAGGGTCTATTCAAGTCGCATATTATCTGCTTGGGGTGCATATGCGAGGCTCTGACTTGCACTGCAGTGGACATGCCGCGCAGCAGAACCCTGCGTATAGATCCTTCTCCAACCAAAAAGCCAAGTCCTCATCGCTCACCATATCTCCTTTACCAACTTGCTCAAACTCACAATCTTAACACAACTTGGCATCTTCCACCACCACAATGCCCTCTTCAAAGTCGTCTCGCATCATGCCCCGTAGCCTTGGCACTGGTATTGATCAAGCCCCCCCGTCTGAACCGATTTGAAAGAACCTTCCGTCAAAATCGGGTTGACAAAACTCCACGTCGGCACTGTTCGGCCAGAAAGATTTGGTCCTCCGCTACCTCTGAGGAGACGTCGGTTGGGGGAAATGCCTCCGACGGCAAAGACGACGACAACGACGATGTGCCAATGCATGTGTCGGAAACTCTCTTCGCTGTAAGTTCATCACTGCTATTTCGCTTTTCTTCTTCTTCTTCTTCTTTTTCTTCTTTTTCTTCTTCCTATTCCTCCTTTTTCCATAGACGAAAACAAGCTGACCAGTCTCCATACATCTATCTAGATGTGCATCTCCTATACCAACTACTTGAGCACCTTCAAGACTGAAACCCCAAAGAAGACCCACACCGGCACCGACACCGACACCGACACCCCCATAATCAACACCTGGGAGGATTTGGTGGCCGAGGGCCAGAGGATTGGGGTGGGCCCCCCACGCCTGCCCAACAAAAATGAACACCGGGGCTGGGGCTACCAAAGGGACTATTTGATGGACTGGAAACATGCGAGATTCTGCAGATGATCAAGGACGCAGAAGGAGGGCGGAGGATACCTTTCGTAGTGGCGGGTGTAATAGGAACGGGAGACCCAATTTTATTCTTAATTTTTTTTTTATTACATTTCTTCGAAGAATCTTTTTGTATTTCCGGGGTTTTCAGGACTTAGGTTTATAGCTAGTTCTTTTAGGTCCCATATGGGCTGAATGCTTTCGCATATAAACTCAGGAACTTTCCCACAATTTTTGAGGCCACAGTTACAGAGGTTCAGCTGATATCTCGCGGAGCCGACATCGAATCCGAGAAGGAGAAGAGTGTGTTTGGCGAGTACCTACCTCTACACAAGCCAAAGCGCGCTCCGAACTGGACGTAGACCAATTTACAACCAACAATTATTGTGTATTTGTCAAAAAGATCCGCTGGCAGAATCATCATAACTCTCGTGTGTTCGGTGAGGGGCATCAGCATGCAGAAGAGACAGGCTTGTACCCTGCGAAATGGAAATACGTAGCAGCGACACCGTTTATCATGTTTCTGGCACAAAAGCACTGAGTGACTCACCTCCACCGGCATTTGTAGTGTTGATGCAGTGTATCTCTAATGGCGAAATACTTTACATGCCACGGCCAAACGACGCAGACACACTTCGGTATAGCATGCGAGAATACGCAAGCTAACCTAATCTCTACATTTAGTACTAGATCCACAGGGTATCAGTAATGGTTAAAGGCATGTGAATACCTACCCCTGTCGAGGTTCAGGAAAGTTGGAAGGCGAAGGGTCTGGAAAACCTGGATGATTTGGCGGGCATATTTGTATGCACCATTGTCTGCAGGATGGTTGCATCAACTTGGATATTGTACATTTCTCAGCGAACAACCTCGAGGTTTCGAATTATGCAACGTCGTGATGGATTGCATGTCCGTACCTACCTTTACGCTGAACCCTTTGGACATTCAATCATCTCGCTTCACCTACATATCCGATCCATAAATTACTCGAACCTTTGCATGATCAGGTGAAGAAGCGTTGGTTGGCCTCCGCCATACGTGTCCAGATTATTATGCTTATTTTTACTATAAAAGGATTGCAACCATCCCCATCCTATCACTTCTTATTCTCCTTTCTTCACCAACAAGCACTCCAGTGATCAGCCAAGTCAAAAAAACGTCTTGCCACACACACAAGCTTCCTCAATTATTTATCATTGAATCACCATCAAATCATTCACGATGCCTTCCACTACCGAGATCAGATTCAAGAAGCACGGCGCCGCTGATGCTGGCGGCCGCAAGAAACGCAATCACAATAACCGCGGCCCTATGGAGCATTTCCCTGGTCTGATGACCAAGGCAGAGGTCGACAACTGGTTTGAAGAGGCCAAGAAAATGCCTTTGGTATGGTTTTTCTTTCATCAGTTGTATATCTTTTTGACGCCCTTTGTTGACCTGAACGTCCCTACTTTGTAGAACACCTTCTTCTCCGAGCCCGCCGATACTGCCGAGTCTGCCGCTCCCAAGGCAGAGCCTGTGATTCCCCTCGGCATGCGCGGTTCCATGCACAATTCTGCCAACAACGGCAAAGCCTCTCCGGTTCGTGACCTGGGAGCTTCCCTCCACAACCCCGCCAACAATGTTCGACTCCTACGAGCACTCCTGAGCCAAATGCTGTGGCCGAATCCCCGAAGGCCGACGAAAGGGCCATTACCGACGAGGCTGCTTCCAAGCCTATTTCCAAGACGACCACCACCGCCTCCCTCAAGGCTGAGGCGTCCCCCAAGGCTCAAAGTCCCATCGCCGGAGTGCAGGCTCCCAAGCCTGCCCTGTGTTCAAAACCGTGACCCTCTCTCCCAAGGTAAACATGTTGCTACATCTGCCAGCCAGGATGCATCTGATCTTGTGAAGTTTGGACTTCGAACGCTAACCACATAATGTTCAGAAGGGCTTTGGTCAGCATGAGACCAACAACGGCATCATCACGGCTGCCCCCGTCGTCGGCCAAAAGAACGGGACCATCAAGCCTTCTCGGGCCGTTCTCCTGGCTGAGGAGAGTCTCGCTGCGGCCGAGGCGATCAGATGGGCCGCCCAGAAGATGCTGCAGGCATCTGAGGATGCCGTCAAGGCCGCGAAGGCACAGTTACTGCTTGCGCAGACCCAAGCGCAATAGGAGGAAAAGGAGGAAGAGCTCTGAAGGAAAATCAAGAGCATGGGAGACCTGGCAAGAGTTGTTAGCAGGCCAGCATGTGGCTGCTGTTCCATTCTACCAACCACAGTTTTGAGTTTGTTTTGTTTTCGTTTGGGAAAGAGGATACCCCTAGGGCGTCATTGGCGTTTGTAATTAATGATTTTCCAGTCTTCATCGCTTCTTTAATCTAACTTTGCTTGCTTCACTCCCGTCCCCTTCCACTTGTGTCTCGATGTTATGCCTTTTGTGAATGTGTATCTATTCGATCGTCAGTCGTTACCGTATTGGACTGTGAGTACCTCTGGGTAGGTAAGCGGGGTGAGAGCGGGGGTCACGCGGTCCAAGCATCTGGTTGGTTTCGGAAATTTGGAGGTAGACCAAAGCAAATGGCAGTAAAGCTTGAACTTTCCGCCTCTTCGTAACTCTCATCGAGGCCTGCGTGAACAGTTGGTGAATAAGTGGTAGTGCGTCGTTGTGCATGCACATCAGATGTACTTGCGTTATCTTAGCTTATCAAACCCGATTAGGCAAGGCACCTTGCTCTGATTGGTTCGTGTGCTTGCCTACCTTATCTTATCGATTGTCCTATCAGACACCGCAAGGGCTGCCCGTCTCGTCATCCTCTTTCTCATTTCCACTTCTCATCATGGACACTATCATTTCTACCATCGTGGGCTATCTGAGACGTGACCTCAATCACTCCCCGCGGATTTCCTTTGCACAGAGTCCCGGGGTCATAAACGAAAACTTTTCCTGCCTCCGAACTCTTTCAGAAGTTAACAGCGACGGCCACAGCCCGGCACATCGGCATCAGTATGCGGAGCTATCCGGTGATGGTCTGATACGCAAATTATTCGTCTCTCCAGATCATTGACAGACCCAGAAGCCGCGAGCTCTGACTGAGCGTGCCAAGTGCATCGCATCAAGTTCCGAGGTTGGCCGGCTTGCGTATCCTAGAGGCACTCCCTTGACCACGCCACTTATTTGGCCCTTCAATATTGTCATCTTCCCCTTTCCAGTCAACCGTATCTACTATTAGTCAGGAATTTGCTGTTGGACTTTTTGCATGGTTTTCTCAAGTCACACGCATCACGCATCTGATTGTTTCCCCGTCAATCTTTTGTCATGAGAATCATCTTATGGTATCACCCGCCGCGAAGGACAGACAGCAGCATGGAAGTCATATTTGATCGTCTGACCACTCCGGCAAAGCTTTATCTGCATATAAGAGCTTCTTATGGCCTCTTCGCCTTCAAACTAAGATCATGCGCACGATGCATGGTCTGAGGGCATCGTTACCTGACATCCTGAATCTCGTTCTCCCCGCTTCCTCTGCTTGTGACAACCCCTTCGGGACCTTGTAGATGACCACCCCGTTGAATCAATATTAGCTCTTCAAGTGTATATTTAGACGCTTTATCTCATATCTTATCGTTTCATCCAAGGAAGAATCGTCATTGCCGAGATAATGCACCAGAGTGTCCAAGATGAGACTTTTGCCCATCACTGTACCTATGTAATGAATACATCCGTCTCTGTCCGTCGCTCTCGTATCGAGCAACCAAACCCTCCCAGACCACCTACATCCCATCGCCTCTTTAAATCATCATACTCTCCCTTCGAACTGCTTCTGCTTGAAATTTCTGTCGCTAAGAGAGCCAGTACATACTCTCATCCTTCACATGTACATGGATCGGATCCTTGACATTGTTTTTTCTTTTTTTCTCTTTTTTTTTTTTTGGACTACCGTGGAAACTCGCGAAACTGGCAAAAGGCCTTCTCTCTTTCAGCACCGGCATATGTACAGGAAGCTGGCAGTATTAGGCTGGTCACTGTGCGTTCGGATGTGGGCAAGTTAGTATGGGGGGTAATACCGAATAATCTCGGGAAACTCGGAATCGAGCCACCCCTCAAGTATTCCGTTTCCTGGCACAGACCCGTAAGCTGCTCTACGTACAGCTGAGCACACATAGTGACATACGAGCGCTTGCTTGTTAGGATTGTAAGCTCCCGCCCCCCACAAAAGAAATAGAAGAAAAGGCCCAGTTGACAGTCACCCCGCTCGAAAACACAGCCCTCTTAACTAGCTTGCCTTATATACACTACATTTGAATGCGCATTCGCGGGCTTAGGCGATAACCGACTGGGCACATATGTAGGCTTGAAACGGCAATTAGTGGAGGTAGCTGGATTTCGAATTTCTCGAGGTTATTCGGTATCCTTCAGTGTGTACCTAGTAACGGGACAAATACATCTGCTGGTGTATGCATGCATACAAGGCAAATTCCTGGCAGCTTTCTGGCAGCTTTCTACCATATGCCGGCGCTGAAAGAGGGAAGGCCTTTTGCCAGTTCCGCGGGTTTCTACAGTATGTAGCCGCCGCCATAGCCTTGCTGTAGCTGTCTAAGATCTAGATGATAAGACCAACCTGCAAGATGACTGGCATAAGACAATACGCAGTCGTTGATAGGCAACCGGTATTCTGGTCTTGACTCATACGATCTGCTAATATACGTCAGCAGTTTTCGAAACGACAGAGTGTCTGCGAATGCCGAAGTGCAAGAGGCAAGGCCCATATTGGGCAAGTTTGGGGAGACCGGTCCTTCAACTTTCCAGGTTTAGATCCAACAAGGTTGAGAAGCTTCTTGAACCTGGCCAAGGCACGAGTGCAGTTGATGAGACCGAGTGAATATATGCAGCATGTGCCTGCTTGCATGTAAGTACACTGCCTAGATGTGTAGGAGGAATTTGCCACGGACTTCAGGAGGCCTTCGGCGTCTGTGAAGTACGACGACTCTTCACCTAGTCTGTATGTATTCCTTCACTGCACCCACGGTTCTTTTTTGTTTCAAGGCACTATATAAACCTCACCACCCCTCCTATTTTCAACCAACTCTCTTTCTCTTTCCATCATACATCAACCTCCTCCACCAAACACACCCACGCTTTACCAGCAAACCAACAACTTCCACCAAAATGCTTAACATTCCCAAGCACGACGCCCTGGCCAAGGCGCTTTTCAACCCCATCGTCTACCGTGGCCCTACTTTCTATAAGTACATGTTCAAGACGGGGCAGTGGCCCGACCGTTGCGGGCCTTTCGCCACCCACGCTTACTGTGGCTTCACCTACCACATGCGCATGCTCAAGATGCGCCCCAAGAGCCCCGCTGAGTTCTAGGCCGAGCCCGAAGTTGGTGGCTTCAACCCAAACGCCTACCGTGGTCGGACCTACATCAACCACATGGGCAAAATTCGGGCCTCGGGCGCCGGCCAGCGGGCCTCGGGGACTTTGTAAGCTTGTTTAAGCCTGTTCAAATGTATGTTCCTGGTTACCCTGATACGAGTTAATGTGTAGGTAGAGGCTTTGTTTGTTCAAGAAGACTAACTCAAGTTTTTAGCAGACAAAAGAGGAACATGACGACGAGCCAACCCACCCTCAACGACACAAATTAAGCAGCAACAGGATGACAGGGAGGATTTTTTTCTGGGGAAGAATCAATGTAAAAGAAACGTGGAGATCGTTGGAGATACTCACTTGAACGCAAGGGAGAAGCTGGACGCAAGGAAAAGCGTTGGAAGTATTTTTCTTCTTTTTTTCTGGTCTTGATTTCTCCAATACCCAATACCATTTTGCTTTAGTTGCCACAATATCTCTCTTATTCCGTGACTCCTGGAAATCTGTAGTGGATGCTTAGAGGTACCTTCTTTCTTGTTCTTCGTCTTGCACGCTGAGCTTCGTGTCTGCATCCTCGCTCTGTTCATTGATACCCAGCGGAGCCTTACAAGATTTACACTCATAAGTGATCCCCTTGTTTTTCCTCGACACCTTTGGAACTTCGAGTTTTTGAGAAGGCCAGCGTTAGTCAGAGCCAGGTCAAAGTACAATGGAGACGAAATGGCTGGATTCGGCTGACCAGAATATGCTTTGTGACTAGGCCGAAGCAAACTTTTGAAGCTTTCAGTCATGCAACTGATTGAGTCGGAACATGGTTGAGTCGAGGTACGCCAATCGCCCTATTTAACATGGATTATACCCTCCATTCTCTTCTCTCTTTTGTTTCTTTGGCCCAAAGCACCTTCTTCAACCCACGCCCAACATCAGAACCCACCACCACTTCAAAATGTCAGACTTCCCCAGACCCAACAAGTCGTTCAATCCAAACGCGTATCGCAGTCAAGCTGCATATAACGCCCATCTAACAAGCCTGACTACAGAGGACCAGACGAAAGAGGAGCCCCCGTCGCAACAGAAAGCTCAGAAGGCGCAGCAGTCCCGCCCTGCGCATCATCCTCCTCGCATGATATCGACACCGATCCTGATGCTCCTCACCACATGAGCAATGCGGAGGTCAAGTAGTGGTACATTGATGCCGACCGTGAATACGAAGAAAGGGAAAAGCTACGGATATCGAACTGGCTTCACGATTTCGCTACATGTCTCCCGTCTGGAATGGATAACAGAAACGGAGGAACAACTACCACTAACTCAACACTTCCAACTCACAGGCCGGTTATTACAAGGATTACGTCCCCGCTGGAGGTCATCCTCCTGATTTTAGCAAGTTTATCCGCGAGCATAGAGGTACCAAGCCCACCAGCGGCCTGGCGAAGTCGATGCATGCTCCGAAGGTGCAGGAAAGGGGTCAGTCTTCCAAGGGTGACGCTTCGCCCAACACTGGCACTCGGAATTCGACTCGTTAAGGTGTTCTGGGGGATTTCGTCTTTAAGGGCCTGGATGAGACGCCGATATGCCCTCAACTTCAAGTAAATGATACATGTGGAGGCTGGAATAAAAGGGGGTGTCGGAAACAGCCATTGTTTTTTTCGTCCCCGTTGACAACATCATCCAAGCCGAGAAACCCTCAATACCTCATTGTATAGATATCTTGTGATAGTATTAGCTCCTGCGCTCATTTTTTTTCCCACGAAATTCTTACCGCCAACCCTTTTTGCATTCTCACCGTGTTTTCTTTTTCGTAGCATTCCACGATGTGCCTGCTACTATCCGGACACTCAAGGAGGCATGATACTGGACAGCATCGATGTTTTCATCACGGGACATCTCCTGTTACTGACGCACAGAGTTGACCAGGCTACAACAACATTTGCCCGAGGGACAAAACCTCTCAAAATGCCGAAGTGAAGGGGCCAAGGTTGAACTTATTTCGGAAGGCTTGTGGGCATTCACCCATCACGAACCTGGTTTGACATGCGAACAGTGCCGTTGGTTGGCGACTGTTGACCTTTCGAAGCTTCCAGTCGTCGATGAGGTTGAGGAGCAAACCATTCAACGAACATCAGCTGCAAGTGACGGGGATCAATCACAAGGTTCACGTACCAACCTTGAGGGTTTTCTGAGTAGCCTGGCTGTTCACTCTCCCATGTTGTTCAGTTCCAAGTCGTCTCTCGACATAAAAGCCCGTCCCCCCTCGCTTCTCTGCTTTGCTCCTTCCTCCTCTCAACATCATCCTCCAACATCCACACAAAAAATACCGAAACCCACCCCAACACCATCGCACTTTCCAAAAATGGCCGACTTTCCCCAGCGCAGCAAGGCTTTCGACCCCATGGCGTACCGCAGCCAGGCTGCTTACAATGCCTCCATGGCCCGTCGCCAGTCCAACGACCAGCCCAAGCCGTCCGAACCCCCGAATTCGTCCAAGCCGACGACCTACAGCAGTCAAGCCGTCCACAATGACTCGCATCGTCAATCCAACGAGAAGCCCTCCGAGCTGGCAAAGTCGTTCAACAAGATGACCTACCGCAGCCAAGCCACCCCCAGTGCCTCGCGTGGACAGTTCAAGCAGCACGTCGGACCCGCCAAGTTGTCCAAGCCGATGACCAACCGCAACCAAGCCGCCTGTGACGCCTTGCGCGGAAAATCCAACGAAAAGCCTTCCGAGCGCACCGAGACCTTCAACAAGATGGCATACCGCAGCCAGCCGGCGATCAACGCCTCCCGTGGTTTTCCCAACAAGAAGCACTCTGAGCCAGCCAGGTTGCACCAGCCCCGTGCCGCCCAGAAGACCAACACACAGCATTACCGCTCTGCGAAGAAGACCACCAACGCGGAGGAGCAGGCTAAGGAGGACGACTACGTTAAGCAGTGGTTTGCGGAAGCCAATGCCGACTACGAGGCGGCCAAGAAGGTATGTGATTCCGTCGCATTTGATGCTCACATAAACATTCATTTGTTGATTTGACATTATTCGTTACAGAAGGGCGAGTTTGACAACTACGTCCCGGCCGCCGGCCGCGCTCCGGACTTCACCAAGTTCCGACAGATGTTCGACACCAACGGCAAGCCCGTCAACGGCCTTGGCAACTCCAGACATGCCCCAAAGACACCTGAGGCTGACGAGCCTGAGAAGAAGTGACAGTGAGTAAATCACATGGTCCCAAGAGATGTACCTTCACGATCCAAAAACTGACTGAGTGCAAATCAGTACCAGCAACATTCAAACGACCACTTGACCGACAGTCGAGATTGTGCCAGTGGATAGACATATGGGTCCAAGGAGGAACTATTAGAGAGGTGGCATATAAACTGAAGAGGTAGTAATACTACGCGGAGTTCCACAGAGCAAGATTTCAGGCCTGAATAATTAGAATGGTCAAATCATGAGTCGATGAATACTTGTGGGATGTTTAGTAACCATTGGGCCCTGTCAAAAGAAATTAATACTGCCTTCCTGCCACCAGTCTAGTACTTGAATTCATGCTTCTATACAATATTAAAATTACCGTGGTTCCTCCGTTAACTTTTGGGGCCTCTGTATCCACTGCTTTTCCTTGTTTTACGTGATAGATGAACATTGCGACAACTCCATGACCTTAACACACCGAAACATTGCTAGTTACGGAACAATAATCAAGATCAACAACAAGCAGCCGGGTCTTCCGCACTAGTCATGTACTTCCACGCAGAACTCAGTAAAGACGACGTGAGACCAGACTGAAGGGTGCCGTCCCGGCGCAAACATGTATTCCTCACAGCCCTTCACTCCTATTGACACTTCACTCCAACCAGCTCTTGTGTGCCATTCTCAATGTCTCCATATAGAGTTCTCCCGTCTCCCCATTTCCTCCGTTTTTGTTTCTATTTATTTGTACTCACTACGCACCGCTACCCAGGCCTTCCTCTACCAAGCAACCAACCCACCATTGCAGTAATTCTCGACATGCCCGATTCTCAGAGCGAGAACAAGCAGGCGCGTGCCCCTTACGAGGTCCGCACGCCGAGGTTCTCGAACTTCCCCACTATGGAGCCATTCGATCGCTATACCTACCGGGGCATGGCCGCGTACAAGAGGATGTTGGAGACCAAGAAGCAAAAGCTGGAGCAGTCCCTCTTCAGCCCCGCAGCCCGGAGCCATCCAACTTAACATCCTCTCCAAAACAATCATCATGTCAGACGATTGCTCGGTTTCGGAAATTCTCCAGTACAGCGCCATGACACCCTTTGACCCCATGGCCTACCGCGGAGCCGGATACCAGCGCGCCATGAGCAACCGACGTATTGTTGCGCTGTTGAAGGAGTGGAAGGAGCACAGAAAGCAGCAGGCGTACGCTTGTGAGAACTTATGCTCCCGCCAAATTCCGAGCGCCCCGGAGCAGCCTGCTCTCTGTGATCTCGACCATCCGAACACTTCTTTGGATGTGTCCAAGGCTGACCAGCCTAAGAAGGAGTGATTGTAAGTGCTTTACCTGTGCTATTGCGATTGACTGTCGTCTCGGCGTGTATTTCATAAGGTTGAAATTGCCGAGAGGCCCAAGCCTAGGAGGCTGGACAAGAACAAGCCGAAGAAGGCAAAGAAGCAGGAGGAGGAGGAGGTCGTCGCCAAAAGTTCTTTCTCCCATCAATTTTTCTCTACTAATTTCCTAACTTGTCGCACTTCCCTGACAACCTTTCCGTGATTTTCCCATGATCTCGTCCATAAAATCTTCCCACGACCTTTTTGCATCTACTCATATATCAGTCCATATAATTAATACATCCCGGATAAGTCAACCCGAACTCCCATCTGATGGTTGGCTGAATATGATCATTTTCACTTACAAGTACCAATGACTAGCGCGACCCATTTCCATCCTAACTTACCGAATATTCTAAAACCAAATTCGATGTAAAGAGCCGTGAAAGAACGGTATCGAACTTGTAGATGCTCACAGAGAGGGCCGCGACAATATTCCCGGCGTAACCCAAGCCCGACTGCCCTGTTGCGCATACACCATCCACCACACAGTCTAAATCTCAACCCCATCGAGCACATCTGGAACCGAATGAGGGCGATACTCTCAAGGGGGGTTCACAGAGCTCTATTATTAAAGCATTGGCTGGCTTGGGAGCGTCGACAGGCTTGAGAGCGTTGCCGGGTTTGTGATGGTCGTTGTTGACAATACGGGCATGAGCGCGATAGCCACTGCGGTCAAACTTGGAGCCGTTTTTGAGCTTGGGAGTATTTCCGGGGTTGCGATAACCGTTCCGGTATTACATCGAACCTCGCTAGAGTATTTGGGCTGAACAAAACGGAGGACGGTAGATCAATGGCGACAGACAGGTTCAAGTGTTCGGCTTGCTACTAGCAGAAGTCTTGGTATCGCTGGTACTTCCATCGCGGCCATACTCCGCGGTCTTTGGTACTTGCTTTGTAAACCGACCTTGATGCCCCATCATCAAATTGATATCATATCGTGTAAATCAATTCTGAAGTTTTGATAAATGCTGAGTGATGAATTTTTCTCCTTCAAGAATTAGATGAAAGAATGACACTCTCGGTCCCCATTGGCACTTTGCACTTGCCATTCTGATGTGCTCAGCTCTCAATAGGCGCCGTCTTCCGTCTCAATGGATGACCAACCTCCCCCAACAAGTACTACTTGCCTTTCATATCAACTCTCAGTATTCACTTACCTTGTCAACACGTCCTTGGGTCCCCGCTTGCACTTGCACTTGCCCTCCTATCGCGCTCGCATTGCGCGTGCCAGCTCCTGATTTCGGAGGGGTGCTTCCAATCCGGCAAGGAAGTCGCGGATAATGGTGTTGTGATACCTGGGCGCGTCTGGAGGTTTGTTAGTTACATATATATAATTACAATAATTAGGGTTACGATCGACGTCTACCTAAAGCTTCTAATCTCTTAACGTCCGCAAGTACCTTACTTCTTACCCGCCGTCTCCGAAGAGGGGTCGGGGTAGGTGCTGTCGCGCAGCGCAGCAGTGTTCTTCGAGGTTGATACCGGCTTAAAGCTTTCGGCTGAGAGGTTGTCTCCAGCTCTGCGGCGCGCGTGCCAACCACGGATTTTGGAAGGGTGCTGCTTCCATACTGTTTGTGCTGATAGGGTGGGGTGTAACGTACGGTAACGGAAGGGCGAAGGGCTAGGCACTCGCTTTCTTAATAGATACCAACAACCTCAACAGGTACTGCCTGTCTTTCGTCTCAACTCTCGATATGCACTTGCTTTCTCAACACGTCCATAGTCCCCACTTCCGCTTGCACTTGCCCCCCTAACCTGCTGGATATACGTACGGGTCTGGCATCTCGCGAAGTTTCCATACCGTACGGCGTTCAAGTCGGAGGTGAGCTATGTCCTGGATGTCGTCGAAGGCAGCTTAGGCCGATGTCGAGGCTGCGTAGACTTGACGATGTCTGATTTCCCGATCCTGGTTGTAGTCTGAAAGCCGTATTATGCCCTTCCTTTATCCATGTAGGAGTGGTATCTTGGGATTGAAATGATATCCGTCACGAACGTAGATTCGGGTCAATACAAGTATAATGCACTGATAGGGACAATAAATCCCCTGAATAGGTACTCCCTTCTCAATAGATACCAGCCACCTTACCAAATACCTACCTTTTCCTCCCCTCTCTTCTTTGCTCCTTCCTTCCCTCCTTCTTACAAACCGTCATCTTCTTCATTTGACTCCATCACAAACCAACGCAACTTCACACTTCCCAAAACCAAACCGCAGCAACCATGTCTGACTTCCCAACCTACACCAAGCAGTTCAACAAGGACGCATACCGCAGTGCGGCTGCCTACAAGTCGCACCTCGAGACTCAGCGCCTGAAGGCGTCACCCACTCCTCGCCAAGCGGCCCACACCATCACCCGTCCGGCCCCCCGTCCGACCTTCCGCACAGTCCGCTACAAAGCCCCGCGCGCACCAGAGTCGCCCAGTTGGATGACCGACGAGGAGGTGAAAGCTTGGTTCAGAGAAGGTGAGGAAGAGTATGAGGTCCTGAAGAAGGTTTGTACCCCCCGGATCACTTGACCGCAATCAGTTCTCAGTTCTCATGCAGCACTTACTAACATGTTTTGTCTTCGACAGGCCGGTTACTACAACGACTATGTCCCTGCCGGCGGCGGTCCGAGCCGCGGCGCACTCGCCGACACCAACACCAACACCAACACCAACACCAACTCGCTGCCGAAGAGAAAGACGGGCATGGAGAACTCCATGTGGGCGCCCAAGAACCGGCCCCTCGCACAATGGAACCCAGCTGCTAGACCCTACCGCCCTGCCCTGACCAACACCACAACCAATGCGCTGCTGCCGAAGAGAAAGACGGGACTCGAGAACTCCATGTGGGCGCCGAAGAACGCCAAGCTATCTGTCTTCACGAGCCGTGGCTACTAAGCCAGCCCGTTTGAACAAGAGATGAGAAAGGGGTTGAGCGGCAGGGATTTACTGAGAGAATATTTTGCTTTCAGGAACATAGCGTGTACTAGTTGATGGCTCGGGATACGGGTGCATTGGTCGGAGTCTTCAGGAGCTTTTTTTTTGTTTTCTCGCGTGACTGGAAGATCGAGAAATTGAGCAACAAGGTCGAATGATGGGCGTAAGAAGTGCTGGGAGGAGGTTCGATCTGAGATTTTTGTGATGTGGTGGGAATTCAAGGAATTTTGGTGCTGACAGTTTACTATCCTGTCTTGCAAGAACAATTATCATCTGCTGTTACCATGGTCAATTGCCTTGTTGCCGTGAAAGATTGTCCCAATGTGATCGCCGAGTGACACATGTCGTTAGCGATAGTTGAGGCTGAAGTGAGAGTGTCTCAAGTGTCGTGCATGTCTCCAAAGTTGAGCTCTTCCCAAGCTCCAGCCTGTAAGTCGTCACCGTGTTTTGTTTGTTCCGTGCATCGCAGCCTGGCATCAATGCATCCTGCGAAGTCCATCCTGACCGTCCATCACTCACAGTGTCTCCGTTCTTCTGTCGCTAGGTAGTATTGTGAGGCTCTGCTGTGGGGACTTGAGACACGTTCAGGCAAGGTCAAGGAAGGAGGACTGGAAAAGAATGGGCTAAGCGCGCTTAATCCGGTCTTCCGGATCTACCATGTCTGTTGAAGTGGGATTTTGTCTCAGACACTAGTCTGGTTGGCGGACATGAGCAGGGCTGGCCGGCGAGTTTGGTTATAGAAAGGCATTGGTTGGCATAAGGGGTTGAAGAATGGGTCGGAAACTCGCATTGAGGGATCCAGTACAGTAGCTATGTCGTAGTGTACTTCGGTGCTCGGAGAGGACTGAGCCTCCGTCTCTGTCACATATTGCCAGGGCAGTGAGAACAGGAACCCGCTTCAGCGCAAATGACAACTCACTTGTCACGGTGTCAGCCATGTGTTCGAGTGACAATACATGCAGACTCTGCAGAACAGCGTGCATAAGTATCACCTCGAGTTACATGCATCAGGGGGCGGTGGTATAGTGTATCAAAAGCCGAGTCAAGAGGCAAGTCGGACGCATGGCAGTCCTTTTGAGAGACGAGGCAAGGCGTTGAGAGATGGTTGCCGTTGATGTGAGGGATCGTTCGAGCAGATAAGAGCTCGCCACGTATGTGTTCGGGGTAACCAGGTGCATAATATTGATAAGGTACAAGGCGGACGAGGTTTAGGGTTTGGAAACATCGTCATTTTGCTTTCGTCGGCCTTGTGTTCCGGGGAGTGACTGGCCTGAGCAAGGCGCTGACGTGACATTGATAGGGGATATCAGCGGGATTCCCCGGATGTTGGGTCCTGATGAAACACTATGGGTTGTTCTCTGCGTTACCTGTTTTGTCTCCCGCATTTCCAGAACAGGGGCTGATAAACGTGAGAGGATAGTCCGCGGCTCTTGGGTGTATTCTTGGCACTCGAGTCACGGCCTCACCATCGGGCAAAAACATGCAACCCGAAATCAACGGCTGGTTGTACCCAGGAATCATTGTTAACCAGATAGCCATCTAGTTGATTTGGCAGCTATTGATAGTTGCCTAAACCAGTCCCCTTGAGGCTAAATCCCTCGATGATTCGTGAGCTGTGCGGCGGAGCCTCATGTAACCATAGACTCTGCGGAAGCTGCGAACCCCAAATTCCTTAGTACGGGGTAATGAGGTCGGAGATATTCCAGAGAACGGCCGACTGGTCAGCGATTTGCGGAGAGGGTTTCGACCAGCTTGATGGGTTGTCCTAACTGTGAAGGGCCTGGGTAGGAACCCCGCGGGGATGAACGACTTCCTCTTCTCACCCCCTGTAATACACACGCATATATGGCGTAGTCTTCGCCAATTGCACCAAAAGTGACAACCACACCTCAGGGAAATTTATCTCGCCGGTGGTATTTTACGCCTCGTCATGCAGTGAGGCGGCGTTTGAGGTCGAAGTCTGGTGATCGTTTTGCGGAACGCTTTTCGAGTGACACAACAGAAAACTCTCAACCGCTTTCCACTGACGATGAGCCTGACAATCAGTGTTCGCTGGCGCCCAATCTCGAATTAGCTCTCACAGAGAGAACCTTTCTTATCTCGGGAGTGGCAATAGCACAAAGATGCGGTGTTGCGTTGGCGTGATGGCCAGAGTGTGAAATGGGTAGCGGACGAGCCAAATGCCGGACTGGTAAGGGTGATCATCAGGTAGACAACGGGATGGGCCGTAACAGGCATGGGGTCTCCTAAGTTCGACCAGGTACCACGACGTGCTCCCTCTTCCCATGACAGGGTTTGGGAACAAGGGGTCTAAGACAACGCCCCTCTTCCCCACGTAAATCGCCAAGACAAGGCCAATGGGTATGGGTTGTGCAGGTTCGTCCTACCTGTGCCGAGAATCTTCACTCTTTCCTACTGTGGGAATCCCGATACAACTGGAATAGAAGCAAAACCGGCAAGGCAGAGTAAGGCCACAAGATCTCGGAAGCATTTCGGGACAAGTGTTTTCGATTGGGCAGCAACGCCATTCTTGTCGTCAATCCTCAAGAGCCCTGATTGTCCTTTGAGAAGTGTGGAGAAAGCATCTCAACCAAAGGATAGGCGTCACAAAAACTTGATTGGGGCGACGCCGGGAATGTTGGCATGCGCGTAGTGCTTCTTGCGCATCTTGGAGTGCACCCCGTACGAGAACCGTTGGGGAAGGAGTCAGGCCAGCCCGCGCTTGGCGAATAATGCGACTCCTTGTGTTGCGACCTTGCTGTTTGAGGTTTTTGTCGAGAATGCCTCGAGGATAGACGGAGCTGATTTCCGGTCACCCAGCTAGTATCAACTCCACCATGGGATACCATCAGGAAATTCTGACCACAGATTGGGTGAAGGCTGGTCAACGTAGTTGGAGGTGCAGAGCCGCATAACCAAACTTCATCCCGGTCCAGGTTAAATACTGATGGATGCCACGCCAGAAGGTCCGAATGCCTGCCCACTTCAACAACTTCAGGCCACTTATCTTCTAGACTTCGAGCCCGTCCAAGATGGCGGCTTTGATCGATAACATCCACAAACATGCTCACCGGGTGCACGCCCGCTTCCATCCCAGCCACGGCCATCGTCACGCGGAAAGAAACTCTTATATGACCTTGACAATCCGTAATCTTCCATTGGGGACCACGGAAACCGACGTCTTTGAGCATATCCGACGACAGAGACCGGATTCTGACCCCGTTGTCAATCCCTTGACCAAGGAGACAAATCAGCGCACGCTCTGTGCGGTCGTCACAATCCGCCAGGAGACGGAGGAAAGATGTAAAACTTTGCGTGACAGGCTCAACCTTACGCGCATCTACCCAAAGCATCCAGCGGGTGATGTCAGAGATTCAGCTATCATGGTTAGCGATGAGTTTCTCGGTGTAACAACCATCGCTGAGCACGATGACCCTCAATTCGAGTAAGCCGACTTGTCAGGACCAGGATTCATGTTTGATGATGATAGCTTCTTGCTAACAATACTGCCGAACACAGTATGTACTTCGTTCATGGCCTCGGAGGGCATGCCTTCAAGTCTTGGAGCACGGACAAAGGCGCGCCTCACATGTGGCCCAGAGATTTCCTTCCTGACGACGTCAAAGCGAGGCCGCTGAATCCCATGAAGTGGAAAGGTCGAAAGTTGGCCGGTCGCTTTGCAACCGTGGGATATCGCGCAAGCGCTATGTTTGCTTCCGCTGCCACTGCAACGATCGACAAGATATCGCAGAATTTCCTCAATCATCTGAGGGCTGACCGAACTGAGGTGTGTCGGGCTATAACAGTTTTTTATGCTTGTTCCTGGCTGACTTGCGTTACAACAGGGATCCAAGCGCCCAATGTACTTTGCATGCCATAGCCTTGGAGGCTTGGTCGTCTGCCAGGTAAAGGACTCCCTGTCGACTCAGCGATCTGTTGTGGTCTTGTTTAACTGTGTTCTTCAAGGCCCTTATCCATGCTCTATCTGAAGAGTCGCACAGGCTAGAGCGGTTCCAGGACTGCCAAAGCACATTCTTCAATGGAGAAGAGTGCCTTGTGAAGGGCATCTTCTTCTTCGGCACCCCCTTCGTGAGTCCACAACCCCAAAGGCTCCGAGACCCGTCAGTATGTTGCACTGGCTGACAAACAGAGATAATCACAGGAAGGCTCCAGGCTAGCCAGATATGCCTCTCGCATCGTAAAGTTCCTCCATGGCAATGACACGCTCATAGGCAGCTTGAGCATCCAGTCTGAGGACCTGAACACCATTGTCGCTAGGTTCGATCAGATGAGAAACAACCCAAGGACGAGGATTCCGATCGTGATTGCATATGAGATGCAGCCAATGTTTGGCATGAGATTTGTACGTCGGAATGTCGTCTCTCTTCTCGACGATGGGTCTCCTCCGGGACCTAAAAACCTCCGGTTTAAAATGGTGCTAACGCAAACGCTCAGGTAACCGACCCAGACTCAGCCATGAGCTCGTTCGACTGCCAGACTATCGGTATTGAAGGCGACCACCGCACCATGATCAAGATGGAGAACAACCAAGATCGAAGTTACCGTGACGTCGCCGAATTCATTATCCGAATGATTCAACAAACATTGTCCGGATCCAATAGTATCCCACCCTCTCCCGCAGTTGGGTCTGATACATTTGGGGAACTCCCTTTCAGACGGATTCCAAGAGATGAGAGCCTCCCTCCATACCAAGGCCAGAATATGGGAAGGCTTTCCACAGAGAGCTCAGCCAGCAATGAAGCATCGACCACTCGCCCCCCTTCCCATTCCCAACCCGTAGGTTTAGGCATCAGCAACCCAAACTCCGAAGAAAACAACTCTCCTGGGAGATCCCGTTCCAACATAGTCCCCGTCAAACTCAACGACATGATGCCTCTCAATCGTGTTGATGGTAGAAGGGAAGATGACCGGGAGTTCGCCATGCTCTCCAAATTCGACGTCGTCTTCCTTCTCGACGACACGGGCTCAATGATGGAAGCCGTCCCCTCATCGACCGACCACTGCGAGACAAGGGAGCGTTCGAAATGGGACGAAATGATCGATTCTCTGCGCTATATCGTCGATATTGTAACACACTATGACCGCGACGGCGTAGATGTGCATTTTTTCTGCAACGAAGATAAAGACGAGTTTAGCATCCGAGATGGACAACGGGTTCTAGATCTCTTGACCAACGAAGTCAGTCCAGACGAGATTGGCGGCGGAACCTTCATTGCCGAGCGACTTTGGACGATCCTGACGGCTTATATCGACCGGTTCGAAAACTATCGGCGACGGATGGGAGAGCGGGCACCTCCTCCCGAGAAGCCGAAAATGCTGAACCTCATTGTGATCACGGACGGAGCTGCGGACGACAAGGATGGGGTAGAGGAGGTAATTGTCGATGCAGCGAGGAGACTGGATGAACTGAGGGCTCTTCCAAACCAAGTAGGGATTCAGTTTTTGCAAATCGGCAAAGACGAAGCGGCTTCGAGATGGCTGAGGAAATTGGATGATGATCTAAAGGAGAACCATAAGATTCGAGACGTAAGTTGAGCCTACCCATCCGTCTTAGCTTCCCACCCCGCTGAAGCGATGCTGACAAAAGGCGTGGGATAGATGGTTGACACCCGTCCCTGGGACAGAGTCGATCAGATCGACAAATCTTTGCGAGAGAGACTCACCAACATTCTCCTCGGCGGCATTGACAGAGCCAGAGACATTGTGTAAGCCCACAAGGACCGAACGAACGCGGTCGTTCTAGTGCTCCGCCCGAGTGAAAGGAATGGAGTAGGTTCGATCATGATGACAGTTATGACAAGGCGTTTAGGATTTATATTTTTTTTTGCTTCGGTTGGACTGATCAAGGCCACATTTGGTTGGTAGCGCACGCTGGATACGAGGTCATGACTAATGGAAATACTTTCTTTGGTCTTGATGAGGTATGACGGTGTTGCGGTGTTAAAGGTTTCTCTTCATTCATTGTCTTTTCTATAGTCACTGCCACAATTTCGATCGTTAGCTTTCGGACGACATAGCAACGTGTTGGCTGCCCTGACGGGTAAACCTACCTGTATGTTTCCCAGCTTGTTGAATATTCAAACAATTTTGGTCTCTACTCCTCGCTTCAGCCAGAGCACCTTATCCTCCACCCCTGCTTTGGCAAAGTCATTCGCCAGTTGGGTCTCTGATTCCGTGAAGTGACTCCATGACTCGAAGTGCAACGGTACGATAACATCGGCTCCGATGTCCTTGGCCAACTGCGCGGCCTGATCACCGCCCATGGTGATCTGCAGCAGGCCTCCCCCATCAGCGCCGCCGCCAGGCAAGGAGACTGTCGCCTTTCCGATGTTCAGCATCGCGACGGCAATGTGATACTTTTCCTTCATCTTGCCAAGCTCTTGAAGATGTATCGTGTCTCCAGAGAAGTATATCGCATTGGGACGGCCGTCAGCATGTGTTCCAAATGCCCCGTCTGGAGAGCTGACAATGAAACCGACTACCTGGCCGCCAGGTAGGTGCTTGCATGGAGTGGCCATCACGTCCAACTTCCGCGCCTTTCCGTCGCCTCCAAGATCAAGGCAGACTGTCTCCCAGTTTTCAAGGCCCCGCACTCCTGGCCGCGGAGCTAGTTGAGAAGCGCCATCTCTGGTGGTGAGCACCCTCCGACCATCAAGAAGGCGTCGGCCGAGATCATCTAGATTATCCGGATGGTCTTCATGGCTGAGTAGAACAGCATCGATAGGAGGGAGTTGGTCGAGACCCAGAGCCGGAGGGTCGGCCTTGTTGATGACAACACCGCGATACTCGATCTTGGTACCACCGGGACTGAACACGGGGTCTGTGATCAGATTGATACGGTTGGGGCTGCTTGGCTCGCCGAGATGGATCATAGCGGTGGCTGTACCAATGTTGGTAATGCTGAGGGGGTAATCAAACGAGACTTTTGTTGAGGGCATGTTGAGATCAGGCGCTATTGGCAGCTACCTCTACGTCAAAATCGATAGCTGTGAAGATGTAAGAGTCTCTGATGAAGCTCGTCGAGACAACAGTAACTGCGTTCCAGGCCATTCGAGCAACAGAAGACAGTTTGTTGAACCGCCTCCTTACAAGTAGGGGATGGAGATATCAATCCCTCATCAGTGCGTAATGCGGGCATCATGAGAAACGGCACTGCATTGACCATGTTTGAGGTTCCCCGCAGCAGTTCTCCAAGTCGCAAATCGGATAATGGCTCAAGGTTCAGGCGTTCAAAGGGCAGAAGCTGTAAGCCGAGAGGAAGACCTCAACGTCAATTGTACATCGGCTCACAGGCCGGTCCGGAGGCCTATTGGTATCATGTTGAACGATGTTGAAAGTGGCAGTGGAGAACTTTCATGATCCAGGGAAAGGACAGCAGACCGAGAACTGACAGACGAAGAGTTTAGAAGTGGAAGAAGATTTTGCAATTTCGGCGAGGTAAAGTGGGCAAGTGTCTGACGGAAATTATTCATCGCATGAGAGGAAAGTGCAACGGCCTCGATGTCGGTCGTTGGTTAAGCAGCAGATAAGATAAGTCGATAACGATAACAATTGAGAACCCCCGCGAGCTTCAACCTTCCGCGCTCGGACCAGTTGCCTTCGCAAGTCGACCTCAGCTGGGGCGGAATGGTGAGAATGCACTGGACCCACCCGCCCAAGGCAACGAAAGCTTGAGGTAAGCCCCATCAATACGTACCTCCCGTCCGTGCGTCAACGCCAGCCCATTGCCCGCCTGCCGACTGTTCAGTTGCATCAACACAACAACCCAATCTGGAACCAGTTCATCCATCAAACAACCCATTTCGTTCACGATATCCGAGTCGTTCGGCCTGCGCAATTACCGATCCATCTACAACCCCGATAAACAGTCGACCAACCCGACTCCTCGAGACCGCCTGACGTCACCTATCAACCAACTCGACAACCCGCCAGTCGTCGCATCATCATCTCCATAATGGCGGACCAGGAGCGCCAGCATGCGTTGGCTTCGTTCAAGGCGAAGCTGATCGAGTCACGAGAGTGGGAGGCAAAGCTCAAGAACTTGCGTCTGGAGCTCAAGGGACTACAAAAGGAGTACGACCAAACAGAAGACAACATCAAGGCGCTGCAAAGTGTCGGCCAAATTATCGGCGAGGTCCTCAAGCAACTGGACGATGAGAGGTGTACGTCTTGCGACCCCCACCCGTAATCTGGTAACTATACTAACTTGCCATGCGACAGTTATTGTCAAGGCTTCCTCCGGCCCGAGATACGTTGTCGGCTGCCGATCAAAGGTCGACAAGGCGAAACTCAAGCAGGGAACACGTGTGGCGCTCGACATGACGACCCTCACCATCATGCGCATGCTCCCCGGGAGGTCGACCCGCTAGTATACAACATGTCGCTCGAGGATCCAGGTCAAGTCAGCTTCGCGGGTATCGGCGGTCTGAACGATCAGATTCGCGAGCTCAGAGAGGTTATCGAACTGCCCCTCAAGAACCCAGAGCTGTTCTTGCGAGTCGGTATCAAACCTCCCAAGGGTGTCTTGCTCTATGGCCCCCCAGGTACCGGAAAGACACTACTAGCCAGGGCTGTCGCGAGCAGCTTGGAAACCAACTTCTTGAAGGGTAAGCTCGCACCGTCTTTACCCAGCATTTGTAGCGGCGACATCACTTGACAGGATAGGTTACTAACGATGCTTCTCTTTAGTTGTCTCCTCCGCCATCGTCGACAAGTACATCGGTGAATCCGCTCGACTTATTCGCGAAATGTTCGGCTATGCCAAGGAACACGAGCCCTGTATCATCTTCATGGACGAGATCGACGCCATCGGTGGCAGGCGTTTTAGCGAGGGTACATCCGCCGACAGAGAAATCCAGCGTACACTTATGGAGCTCCTCAACCAGCTCGACGGCTTCGACTACCTCGGCAAGACCAAGATCATCATGGCGACGAACCGCCCCGATACCCTCGACCCCGCGTTGCTGCGTGCCGGCCGTCTAGATCGCAAGATCGAGATCCCTCTGCCCAATGAGGTCGGCCGCCTGGAGATTCTCAAGATCCATGCCTCCGGTGTGGTTATTGAGGGCGATATCGACTACGAGAGTGTTGTGAAGATGAGCGACGGCTTGAACGGTGCTGATTTGCGTAACGTGGTTACTGAAGCGTAAGTTACCAATTCTCTGCTACGACACAACGCCGACCGTGCGGCTCCTTCGCTAACCTTCATCTTCTTCACAGTGGTCTTTTTGCGATCAAGGATTACCGCGATGCGATCAGCCAAGACGACTTCAACAAGGCGGTGCGCAAGGTCGCCGAGTCCAAGAAGCTTGAGGGCAAGCTCGAATACCAGAAGCTATAATAACCCTGCAGTAACTGGAGGTTGGGCGGGGGGTAGAGGTGGTAGCGGTTGAACAACAACAGTGACAAAGCATCTTAGACGCGGACATAGAAGACTCTGCGCCCTTACTAAGTGCGATGAGGGAAGAAAGGCGATGAGCGAACTTTCAACTGTACACAAGCGAAGTACCACGATGCCCGCAGAAAGGGCGTCACAATGACTATTTGATGGCTTATGGCACAGTCCCTTCTACTTTGAAACTCTGGAACTCTGGTGTGGAGCTTGTTAGTGCTTGGTCTTGAACTAAAGCCCAAGAGATGTCTTCGGAGCGTGCATTCTTCTGGTAAAATTTCGGTATAGTCCGACAACTTAATAAGCAAATAACTGTACTGTACGAGCCACCTCCGCTTGAGAAGATTCCGTTTCCGCGGCGGTTGGTATGTGTCCAACCACGCGAAGATAGGTGTGCAACACAAAAAAAACTGATGGGCTGACCACCCGAGCCACCGTCACTTCACATGACACAGCATTAGTGAAGTGGCACACCACGCACGTTTTCACCACCGCCATGCAGCTTTCCGGCTGCTGGTCGAACGGCACGGTAGCTTGTTCCAAGAGCATGATGGATGGATGGCAAGATTGTCCCGGTTTGTTGTGCAATCCCCCAATCACTCTTGTGGTTGTGCTTTTCATATATTCTCTAGCGGGAACTAAGGGAAGGTAAAACTGAAAATTGTTTGTTTGGTAACGGAACAGGCGAGGCAACAAGGCTTTATTTGCCTTCTCCCTCTCACTCACGACTGAAGCTCACATGGACATTGTCTCGGATATGTTGGCAAAGTTGCTAGCAATGGAGGAAGCCGAAACTCCGGGCATCAAGTTTCTCGGATATGGGTGCCTTTCATGTCAATGATATCTCTCTGTCTGTCTGTCTGTCTTTCTGTCTGTCCGTGACTCTGATTGTGCCACTTCTCTGCGTGTTTTTCATGGTCCCATCCCGCATTCCCGCAGAGATTGTTGCCTTGTGGGATGGATGGATGGATGGATGGATGGATGGATGGATGGATGGATGGATGAATGGATGGATCGACCCGAGACATTTTGCCTTCCCTTCCCCAACCTACATTTGTTTTACACACGTAAAAGAAGAAATCTGAATGTCATGATTCCTTCGGTACTCAGATTGCAGCTTGTCAGTCAGCCAGTCAGCCAGTGTGCACTTTACCTCTTCTGATGTTCTGATGTGCTGATGTATTGTGTTGATGGAAACATATTCCTTTCGATGCTCAGCTTGCAGCTTGCCAGTCAGTCAGTGTGCACTTTACCTCTTTTTGAATGTGCTGATGTGTTGATGTGTGTGATGGAAACAGATAGTTCTATGCGGCTCAGTGGCTGGGATGGCAGGATGGGTACTACTTAGTGTGTAAAGGTAGGGAGGGTGTCATCCATCTCTAACTTTGGTCAAGATTTTGGTTCCTGTTCCTGTTCCTGTTGCTGGACGGGCGCCGCCGCTGCTAGTGTAAAGGGCGGATCAGCACGATACGAGGTAGCATGGCGGATTACTAGTGTAGTGCAGTGATAGTAGAGGCGGCTACAGTATTCCGTGATGGATAACGAGAATAATGCTAGATGTTAGTGTCGTTGCATCCGTCGTGGGTGGTGTAAGTGAGAGCTTGCCGTTCGCCTTTTTGGCCAAGGCGCGCAACCGTATTCTGAAATTGCACCAAAGGGCAAAGTAAGCCGAAGCGGGTTTGTGAACCATGTGGGATGGATGGCTAGTCACAGAGATCGAAAAGGGTAAACTGGACCGCGGACAATGTTCGTATTTGTCGTTTAGTTAGTGTCTGCATGGCTTGGCTGGTGATGGACAGGTCGATTCCAGAAAGGTAATGGTAGATTCCATCGATCTTGTGACATCGTGTTTCTTTTGGTTGGGGAAACTTTTCGTTGTGTGAACGACCCGGCATTCTGGGAGCGAAAGACAGGATATCATGGGCTGCTAAGAATAGCGCATCATCCCGGCCGGCGGCCGAGAGATGGTGCTGTTCGTTTTCCACTTTTTTGTGTAAGCGGCCTGGATATGGTCCTCCTTGTGCCCGTGGAAAGGGGTGTCACAGCCGCAAAAAGTGGATTCCTCCTAACAAGATGACTTCCATTCCGTTGCTTGGAAATTCGGCTAGCGACCCGGCGGCAAGCCGTATCCTCGTGTAAAGAAGGCCCCAAGGAAAATTTTTATGGATCCTGAGGGCGCCTACACTAATGAACGAAGAAAGGCCGAAACCAGGGTCCGGTGGTTTATGCCTTGGAGGAGGAGGTTTGTCTTGTAAGGCGGCAGATGTTTGTTGTTGTTATCGTTGTCGTTGTTCTTTGCTCCGTCCCGGGTTCGGGAGGCTGAGTAGGTCAGGGGTTGATCTACACTAACCGTGTGATGGCGCCCCCCCGTACCCCGTATGTTAAATGTTTATCTCTTATCCCGCACATTTCGGAAAGGATACCACGGTCGATCGCCGGGTTTGAAGAATGGATGGCGCGCGTCATACGCGAAGGGCAAGCAGGCAGTGACGTCGCGGAGGGCTTGGAACGGGTGCCGGCCCCCTGCTTCGGCCCACTGTTACGAACGAGGCTCTCCACCGCCATTGCCGTGAAACCCCTGAAAACATCGACACAGCATAAACACCGGAATTTGGAATTACGTGCTCGCACTTATCGGAAGGTGAGGGGAGACCCGGCAAGGCAGTGAGAAGGTAGAGATATCGAAAAGGTTTGCAGGAGCATGCCACGGTCCATCTGGAGAAGAGCTTTTGCTTCCATTGTCATTCGAGGTTCTGAGGTGACCGATTCGTGGACGTCGTGGAGAGTTGTATGTGTGTATCTCTACAGTCCGTCTGCCGAGCGTAGTGCGTGCAGTGCATGAGGTTTGCGTGGACAACCATCATAACCTACCCCACTAATAAAGGAACCCTATGCCTCGTTCTGCCTGTTCAGGGTTGTCCATCACTGACAAAGCTGGAATGGCTTGCATTTAACTGTTTACCATTGATGAGTATGGCGTCCATCAGCGACTCAGAGATGTGACCGGTTTGACGATCTCGAAGTTGGCTGAAACACAAGATATCGTGTGAGGAATGGAAGTTATGTAAGAAGTGAGGAAGTATACATGCGTTCTGGCCTTCCCGTCGAGTGTACACATATCATGGTGGGGTAGCATGAGCTACTTCAGCATTCAGCTGAGTCTTTGCACATGTAAGAGTTAAGTAGGTTAGTGAAGAAAAGTCTTGTGAGACATAACAAAAAGAAAAGATTCTTCCTGATGGGAGGAAGGCATGGATATACCCTAGAGGTAGCCATCATGATAAGAGTTGTCAAGAAGATTCCAGGTGGGAACGGATGAACTGTTGCAAGGTGGGTGGGAGGTCTGTACACTCAATGTACCTATAGAGACAGGATGAAGTCAACAACAACAATCCCAATGACAACAAACCGACCGAACCCCTCCATCAACACAAGCACAAACCGTCCTGGCATGGAAACGGCTTGTCCCCCGCCATATCAAGGCGGCCACCACCGAAACAACGATCCCGAACCGGCCGGTATCACGCTGAAACGCTGGGCTATAGGTTACGATCACCACAACATTCAAATCCGCATACAGTTTCTGATTTTCGCTCACTCCGTATTGACAATGGGGGCGGAGCTTCTGGGGACAAAGGCAATGAATCAAAGAAAAATTAACGAGCATGGGACGATTTTGGCAGAGTCTGGATGGACACAGAGACCGTTCGGGCGGTGGACACAAAGCTTGGCGGTCTTTCTTGTCGTTTGGCCGGCCAAGGAGAAGCGAGCAGGTGGGCGAGACCCCTGTCCTTGGCGATAGTGCGCGTGTGCCCCACCTGGGAAGCTGCACCTGCAGCAGTCTCACCAGCGAACCGGTCAATGCCATTGGTGCCGTCTGGTGTCCCTGCCATCAGCGCTGGCCAGTGCTGTCCACCAAATCCGCCCGTGGACGGGGTGTGGACGGGGCAACCTGACGGGGCCGACCTGAACACAGCCAGTCTCCAGTCTCGCCAGTCCCGCCCGTCTCCAGTGGGAGAGATGCCAAAAGAGGGACCGAAGAGAACAGAGAGAACCAAGGAGAGCCAAGTGACGAGAGCGCCGTACCCTCCCCGCCCCCGTTTCGGCCATAAAGACAAGTCTCCCCGTGGCCGTCAAGAGTCAGGTCTTTGAAGTCACTTCTGGCCTGCTCTCTGTTCTTATTTATCCATCCACTCATCTCTTCCTTTCATCCTCCAAACGACCCCCGACTGTACCCCCGACGTTCCTCACGTTCGCTTCTCGCCTTCTGTCCGTTTCTTTAATACTTGATACCCCCGCGCCCGTACAACTCGGTACACCGTCTCACCGCAAGACGATAGCGACCAACTACCCGAACTTCCACAAAACAACTACAACAAGCTCTAATTCTATATTCGGTACCGTCGTTCGTTGGTTAATCAGTCAACATGTGGTACGTTAAAGAGAGGACACCGTTGGCTTTTCGAGTCCTTCTGTCTGATCCAGCTGCTCGGTCTCGTCCGAACAAGCTGAAGGCCCCGCATCACTCCTAAAAAGATCGCAAGAGACAACTGAGGCGCAAACCCAGCCCCCGTTCAACTGGACACCTTTGCTAACTGGAGTCTCTTGCTGTGTAGTGGCATTTTCGGTTATATCAACTACCTGGTGGAAAAGGACAGGAAGTACATTCTAGACACACTCGTTAATGGTACGTCATGAAGTGCTTGCGCGTCCAGCCCCCCTCTCTATACAACATCACGACATTTCCCGGTCCTTTGTCCACAGAAACGCCATTTACGAGGCTCCGAACCTGGGAGCAACGGTAGCTAACCGCTAACTTTGCGAATCCAGGCCTTTCCCGTCTCGAATACCGCGGTTACGACTCTGCCGGTCTTGCCATCGATGGCGACAAGAAGAACGAGGTGCTCGCCTTCAAGGAGGTGGGCAAGGTTGCGAAGCTGAAGGAGCTCATCGACAGCCAGAACCTCGATCTTGAAGAGACCTTCGATTCCCATTGCGGCATCGCTCACACTCGCTGGGCCACCCACGGCCCCCCCTCGCGCGTCAACTGCCACCCTCACCGGTAAGTTTTGCAACTGTGCATAAACTGGCCTCGAACAGTGGACAAGTTCTGACCAAGCAAATCACAGGTCCGATCCCAACTGGGAGTTCTCGATCGTTCATAACGGGATCATCACGAACTACAAGGAACTCAAGACTTTGCTTGAGGGCAAGGGTTTCAAGTTTGAAACCGAGACTGATACTGAGTGCATTGCCAAGCTCGCCAAGTACCTTTATGACCAGCACCCTACTGTCGGCTTTACTGATCTCGCCAAGGCCGTTATCAACGAGCTTGAGGGCGCCTACGGTCTTTTGATCAAGAGCGTTCACTACCCCCACGAGGTCATCGCTGCTCGCAAGGGTTCGCCCCTCGTTATCGGTGTCAAGACTCAGAAGCGCATGAAGGTCGATTTCGTTGATGTCGAGTACGCCGACGATGTGCCTCTTCCCGCTGAGACTGCCTCCCAAAATGTTGCTCTCAAGAAATCCGCCGCTGGCCTCCTTTCTCCCAACGGTCTTTTGGGCGCTGCCGACAAGTCTCTTCTCCACCGCTCCCAGTCGCGTGCCTTCATGACCGATGATGGCATGCCCATGCCCACTGAGTTCTTCCTCTCATCGGACCCTTCCGCCATCGTCGAGCACACCAAGAAGGTCATGTACCTCGAGGACGACGATATCGCCCACATCCACGAGGGCTCTCTCAACATTCACCGTCTGAAAAAGGCCGATGGTAGTTCCAACGTTCGTACAATCCAGACGCTTGAGCTCGAGCTTCAGGAGATTATGAAGGGCAAGTTCGACCACTTCATGCAGAAGGAGATTTTCGAGCAGCCCGAGTCCGTCGTCAACACCATGCGTGGTCGTCTTGACGTTGCCAACAAGACCGTTACTCTCGGTGGTCTTCGCAGCTACATCGACACCATCCGTCGCTGCCGTCGCATTATCTTCATTGCTTGCGGTACCTCTTACCACAGCTGTATGGCGGTTCGTGGTATTTTTGAGGAACTGACCGAGATCCCCATTTCTGTCGAGCTCGCGTCCGATTTTCTCGACCGTGAAGCCCCCGTCTTCCGTGACGACACCTGCGTCTTCGTGTCTCAGTCTGGTGAGACTGCTGATTCGCTTATGGCGCTCAGGTACTGCTTGGAGCGGGGAGCCCTCACCGTTGGTATTGTCAACGTTGTCGGTTCTTCCATCTCCATGATGACCCACTGCGGTGTGCATGTCAACGCTGGCCCTGAGATCGGTGTTGCCTCCACCAAGGCCTATACCTCTCAGTTCATCGCCATGGTCATGTTCGCTCTGTCCCTTGGTGAGGATCGCGCTTCCAAGAAACAGCGTCGCGAGGAGATCATGGAGGGTCTTGGTAAGATCAGCGAGCAGATCTCGTCCGTCCTTACCCAGGACCAGAAGATCAAGCAGATGTGCGAGGAGAGGTTCAGGAACCAGAAGTCTCTTCTGCTCCTCGGTCGTGGCAGCCAGTACAGCACAGCTCTCGAGGGCGCCCTCAAGATTAAGGAGATTAGTTATCTCCATTGCGAGGCCGTCATGAGCGGTGAGCTGAAGCACGGTGTGCTGGCTCTTGTCGACGAGAACCTTCCCATCATCATGATCTTGACCCGCGACAAGCTCTTCCGCAAGAGCTTGAACGCTTATCAGCAAGGTACGTTATTGCATTTCCCCAATGACTGAAACCCACGGAAAAGATGCTAACCGTTTCTTCCAACAGTTGTCGCCAGAAAGGGCAAGCCGGTCGTTATCTGCAACGAGGACGACGCCGAGTTCCAGACCAGCGAGGCCGTCAAGATCGAGATCCCCAAGACCGTCGACTGCCTCCAGGGTATCCTCAACGTTATTCCCCTGCAGTTGATCGCCTATTGGTTGGCCGTTATGGAGGGCCTCAATGTCGACTTCCCCCGAAACCTCGCCAAGTCGGTGACTGTGGAGTAAACGAGGATTAAATGAAAGGGGTCGTCGGTAAAGCGATTGACTGACACTTTGAATCGAACGAAGAGACGACGAGACAACAACAACTGAAAGGAAGGCAGGTCTTTCTGTGTTGATGAGAGCGGATTTTTGATATACCTATTTGTAATCTACATCGTGCTTTGGTCTATAGGCGGGCGTGGTGGAGTCTTCTACTTGCTGGAACGAATCTGGGAGGAAGAAAAAGGCGAAAAGCCAAGGGCGCGCAACAACGGGGAGGTCAAAAGTGAAATGGATGGAACTCAAAGGGAGTCGGCGGGATGGAACAAATGGGTTCCGGGGATACTGTGCTACTGTGCTCATGGCTTGAAGCGTACTTTGCGATCTGTTTGTCACATTCAAGGACAATGTGATGGAACTGTTATTAAGGAGTTAGCTTGTAACAGTAATGGTACTGTCTTTGATGATAATGCATATCTGGCAAAGTGACAATTCTCTGGCGATATATTGCACCGTTCGAGGGGAAAGGGAAGTAGAAAGTCGATCATAACAGACGCTACCGTCTCCGGAATCCTGTAGTCGGAACCCGATGGTCAAATCAATGCCATATTCTGACTGCCCGTGAAGTCCCATACTTACAACTTGATTCACCTGTATCATAGCTCTGGTAAAAGTTCCTCTGCTTTTATGCTACCAAACGGCCACGGTATCTTCATCGTCTGCGTATGACCATATCTATTCATTGGTTCCATTGTCTTCCAATCAAGCCCACACCGGCGCCCTAATCACTGCTATGATATGTACAGACCTTAAACAGTCTGAGTACCATACCCCTTGATCCGCTCAGCAAAAGCCCAGCTCTGCTTCTCAAGCTGCTCGTCCTCCTTCAGCTCCACGCCCTCCTTCGTCACAACCGCAATGCTGTACCGATCCAAGCTCCTCGCGTCGCGGTAGTACAGCACCTTCATGCACTCCTTGACCACCTCCACCGCCTCCTCGCGGCTCAGCCTGGCCGCATCCTCCTCCGTCGCCGCATACCGGCGCATGATAGGTTGCGCCAGCGCGCTGCCAAAGCCCGTCGCCAGGGAAGGGCTCGTGAAGCTGGTGCCGCGCAGGTCGACAGAAGCCAGGTACGGCTTGGAGTCGCCATCGAAACCGGCGATTAGGAGCTGGTTCCAGAGAGGGTCGAAGTCGTTGCGGCGCTTGTAGAGAAGCTTTTGCAGGTACTTGTGCAGGTTGGCGGCGTTCAGCTGGCCGGCCTTGCTGTCGGAGGAGGGGTCCTCGTAGGCTTCGTCGATGGAGAGCTCGGTTAGGTGGCGGTCGAGGAACTGCATATCGGAGACGTCGCCGGAGAAGCCGATGACGGAGGAGTCGAGGAAGACGCGCAGGCGCTTGACGTCGGGGAAGCGAGCTAGGGAGCCGTAGGAAGCTGTTTTGGAGGAGGAGGAGGAGAAGGAAGGGTCAGTAAGGGTGTTTTTTGTTTATGTCATGGGTGTGTAGTCGGTTGTCGAGAAGTGTGAGTTTGACGATGGGATCTTCCTATGAAACATACCAAGGTTATCCGCGGCCATGACTACACCGTCCTTGTACTTGATCGCGATGACGGAGGTACCCGTCACGATGGGTGCTTGTGTCGCCTGCCTCGGGCCGCTGTTCTGGAGGAAGGAGTGGTCATAGGCGCCGTAGACATCATCTCTGGGCTGTGTTTATCGCAAGACAACATGTTAGTTCCATGCCGTCCATGCTGGGTAGAGGTATGTATGTATAAATGCTGCTGCGACAGCAGGTGAGGGGAGGGTTGAAGACGTACACGACCCCAAGCTTGCGGGCGGTGATCCATGGTTAACTGTAGAGTTGGGAATCAAGAGAATGCTCTGAAAGGCGGGGTATCGTTCGTAAACTGGGGGCTTCGCGCGAAAGATGGTCTCGGTCGCTATTCGAGATGCTTGTTCGTGGTCTCTGAGAAAGTTGTTCGTTGGTTATTGTTGTTGAATATGGCAAGATAACGATAGACGGGGAATGGTTCGTTTGGCGGATGATGGTGTTGACGTGGGGAGCTTCCGCCTGGTCACTGACTTGACGTTGCGGCTGGAGGAGCTGGCAGTGGTGGCAGGCTAGGTGCGCCAGTCCAGTGAGCTCCATCCCCTGCCCTGCAGCTTCGCGTCCAGGTGCTGCCTTTCACTCCCGCTGCTGTCCACTGTTGGGCTTGGCTTGGCGTCACTGTCCGGGCAGCCCACTGTAAACAGTGGAGCCATAGCCAGAAGGTATGGGAAGGCCCGAGCGTCATTTGAATGTTTTGGTTCCAGGCTTGGCCTTGAGCCTCCTATCAGCACGTGACACCCTTCATCTCGAACTCGACATTCACTACATCTACTCATCAACGACGGCGCCCTTGTGAAACCTATATAATTTTACAACAAAAGATCTGACACTGTGTCTCCTATACGACCATACCTATTGTACCAACAGTGCAACCATGGGACTTGTAGCATACGACAGCAGTGACGAGGACGAGGACGTCCAAGTCGAGGTCACGACTGTGGTAAGAACATATGGATCGCCCTTAGAGTACTGATATAACACTGTACACTAGCTGACATGGTTTCATAGCCACAGAACACCAAGAAGGACACATCCTCACATCCATCATCAAACGATACCGGTACGCCCCCCTCACGCTCACGACAAGTTTTTGCGCTATGAGCCCGACAAACAATGAGATGTTTCTCCGCTAGTCGCTAACCTATTCGCAGTAACGACATCACTAACGGCTACAAATGGCTACAATGAGAGCAGGCCCTCACAGCCTTTAGCACCATCGATACCAGCGCCCTCACACGAGCTACCACAACAACCACAACCAGCCCGAGAACCATCACCAGACCCAGTTCTCGGCCCAGCATTAGGTCCAGCCCTCGGCCCCTCCATGCCTCCTCCCGCCGGCCCCTCACTCAACACCCTCCCCGACCCCGACTCCGACGTCGACATGTCCTTCCTCGACGACCCTTCCACCTCCTCCATCGCCGGCTTACCTTCTGGACCATCAGCGGCCGAGCCCCCCAAATCCCCCTATACCGCAACCCGCACCTTACTCCGGGACCTCACCCTCCCCGCCCTTCCCAACATGGACATCCCCACCTCTCCTCCCCTTTCACCTTCCGACATCGGGTCAGTCGAACAGCTAGCCGCCCTGACCAGCAAGTTTGACAAATTCCTCGAACTGAAGCGCACAAAGGGGCAGCACTTCAACTCGCGCATCGCGCAGAGCGCGGCTACCAAAAACCCGGGCCTGATGGATAAGTTGATGAGGTTCGTGGGGGTCGAAACGGAGTTTTACTTTGACGACGACGACGACGACCTTCCTCCTGCCCATGCCCAAACCAACAACAACGGCAACAACGACGACAACTCCCCTGCTGAAAACACATCAGAGACAGTAGCACCGCCACCGCCACCGCCACCGGCTGGATGGGAGCAATACGCAACCACCCTCTCCAAAGAAGTGTGGGCTCCATCTGTGATGCCAGGGTGGGCGTATAGGGAAAGAATCCGGAAAACGCAGGAGAGGATGCAGAAGGAAAACGAAAGGAAGAGAGGGGAGAGGGTGGAGTTTGTTAGTGGAGGGACGACCAGTAGGACGGGGAGCGCGACGCCGTTAGGGAGTGTGGCTTATCCTGGGGGGATGAGCGGGACGGCGACGGGGACGAGCACGGGGGCCGGGACGCCGAGTGCTGGTGGTGGTGCTGGTGGTGGCAGCACGACGGCTGGAGTCAAGAGGAAGTCAAGGTTTGATACGTGAGGCGGGAGTTCAGAGGACTTATACAGCCACTTGTTTCCGGTGTTTCATTATTCAGTTCAACGAGAGGGGGTGGGACGTCGATATAGAATGGGATATAGACGTGTCGATGGACTATTTCGTGAAAAGCTATTGACCATACCGGTCATTATCACGGACATGTTCAATGCATGGTCAACATCGGGAGTGGGTTGGTCCGTGGCGTGACGTAGAGAGAGACTTGTCGATGAAAGCATATATCCTCATAATGGGCGTTACAAAGCGCTACGACTTGGTAATGGTCCATACCGGACCATAGCTCAGATATAAAGGCCAAAAACTCCATACACTAAAAAGGAACGTACAAAAAGGAGAGGCGGGAATTCAAGTTTGAAAGATTCGTGACTTCGACTTTAACATAAACTCCATGGCACCTAAGGGATGACTTACAAGAAAAGGAGGTGCCGTAATTGTTGTCCGACAGTCACCCTGTATTGACTTCGCGGCCAAGAGCGTTATGTCAGACACTCAATTCTCTCGGTTATATCGACGACCATGGCCCTTCGTCCACTTGACATTCTCTTCGTTTGTAGTTCAAGTCGTCATGGATGCCTTTGAGACCGATGCCTTTGAGACCGAGTGTCGAGAGACCATGATTGACCTAGAACCGGTCCAAATAATTATATACTACTGGGACCAGGAATGGAGAACACCCCCAAACAAGGGAGTTGGCATCATTGTCCAGTGGCTTGGGCGCTGTGTTTTCTGAAGCTACCTAATCCAAAGGGTTGAAAGCCATTTCTTGGTCACTCAAGCACTAGTCCTCGAATAGTTTCGGCAAGATGGTTGGTATCTCTTAGTTATTTGGCTGCTTCTTTGCTGTCATTCCAGCAGAATAAGCTAATGAACACTCTTATTACACATGTCATCTGCATAAGAGGCCCGTTCGAACTCGTTAAGAGTATTCTCTGCGTTAATCGTTCCAAAGAGAAGCTCTTTATTCCTCAACCGTGCCTCATCATCCCTGGCCCTCGTGCAATTCCATGGTATCTTCAAACACATAAGCATAAAAAACATAAAATGACACCTATTTATCCAAACCAAAGCAAGAATCAAGTGGCGTCGTGAACCTCCTGTGTACACTGCAGGCGCAATGTGGTGGCTCAAGAAAAAGTAAATTAGATCGTCCCAGTGCGTAACCTGGCACTAGGCAATGTTTCCGCGTAACCTCGCCATCCATGGGTATTCGAACATCAAAACGCTTGTTGACAGTATGTAGATCGTTTACTCGTCGTCGGTGCAGCCGAGATCAAGGCCCATGGAGCGCTTGACAGTGCCACGAATGTCAATCTGGACAGTCTGGTTTCCGGTCGCCAAGGCGTCGGCGATATAGGAGAGGCTCTCGCCATTGTTGATGACACTCTTGCCGCGGAGCTTGAAGGGGAGGATGCCGTTAAGCTTATCACAGTAAGGCTTCTGCACGACAAGACCGGTAACGTAGCCGAGATCGGTGATGGTGGCACGCATAGGATACACGTTGTCGTTGCCGGGCTTAAGGGAAATGTTGTCAAGGAAGACGGTGCCGATTTCCTTGTCAAGGAGATAGTTGTGGAAAGTAGCATTGCCCTGGGGAGCGACAGGTTAGCATATGAATGACTAATGAAGAAATGGAGTGTTCAACTTACAAGCTCGAAAGAAACCTTGGAGTAGTTGGGGATCCTGACGGTACCGAAGAAGTTGTTGGTGCCGTTCTTAGCATTAGCAGTGGGGTTGACGGTGGTGTTGGTAACGGTGGTTCCGTCCAGCAGACGGAGGCCTGTTGTTCCTGTTAGTTACGATGTTCATGTCTGCGAAACATTATTATGGCGTAAGGATGCTTACCAGGCATGTCAATAGTCTTCTTGAAAGTGACACCATAGGCCTTGGCGATACCCTTGACGTGAACCTTGGTGGGACCCTCGACGGTAACCCTGAAAGTCTCGTTGTGCAGAAGCCAGGTGTTGAAGGTAGTGAAAGCCTCCATATCGTCGATCATGGTGAACTGGGTGATGTTGACAGTCTGGGACTTGTCGCTGGTGGTCTCGGGGAACTGAACCTTGGCGAAAGGCCTGTGGTCGGGCAAATCCTCAATGTACATGACACCCTCGAAAGGCTCGATCCTGGCCTTGACCTTTCCGTCACTCTTGACCTCGGTGTTGATAGACATGGTGAAGTTTGAGCCCGAGAGTTGGTCATCTTGATGCTGTCGAGGATGAGCTCGGCATGGTCGAGCTTGTCCTGAGCGATCTTGGGAACGGCAACGAGGAGGCTGTGGTATGACTATTAGCAATCAAACATACTTTTATAAGTGAGATGATGTGAGTTTGACTTACATAACAGGGACGACAATGACAACGATGACGACGAGCGCGATCAAGTACACCCACCAAAACTTCAAGCAGTGACCGGCGCAGCCTCTCTTGCGCGGCTTCTCGACGACGTTCTCCGTCTGGACATACTCGGGCTTGTTGTCCATTTTGTAGGAGTTTCCTTAGATTTCGATTTTGTGAGATGAGTGTGTGAAGTAGTGAGGGCGTTGACCGTTTTAACAACTCAAAGGAACCGGGGTTGTGGTCGTGTGTAAGTGCGGATGGCGGACCCCTATTATTTCCTTTCCCAGAACTCAAAGCCAACCGTGCTGATTGGGTGTAGGAGGACAATTCCTTGGTTGTAGAGAAGCGACAACCTGGAGGAAGGAGAAAAGAAAGCGGATAGTTCAACCAGGAAAACGACTGGGAAAAGGAGAGCAGGAGCCAGACAGGAAATAGGAAATCGAGACGGGCAACGGACTGTGTGGTTATTATAAACAGAAACTGCGAAGAGACTTGTAGTGACTTGCGAGCTGGGAGGGTGGGAATTGGGGAGGCACTAGGGAGGAGCGGGTAGGAGCGACTCAACACAAAGGGAAGTGGATGTGATGGTTGCAGGGATTCCATGCTTCCCTTCCACTCTTCCCCAAAAGCTGCTTGGCTCGCTTGAGCCAGGCTCCTCCGTAGCTGCCCTCTCTGGTTGCAGAAATCGGCGAGCAGCTTTCAGACAAAGGAAAAAGAGGCCAAAAAAGCTCGCTGCTAGTGCTGTTCTGGCTGTCTAGGGATCGCCCTCCCCCCCCTCTTCAACGACCACACCGCGCCGCTGGGTCATCCTGGCTTGCCACCACCCCAACAAAGAGATTGACGAAGGCATCCCCGACTTCCCCATGTGCCTAATTGTGAGCCATGCAACCACGAATGGAGATGGGACTAGCCTTATCGAGCAGTATCTCCGACGCCTTCTGGTTCCCCAACTCCCCCACCCCGACCACACCTCGAGTTGTGCCAAGGCGAGCTCACCACCAGCTATTGGATCAGCGGCGTCGTCTGTAGTAGAACCCTAACCCTTTTGCGTCCATTGCGCAGTCTGGCCAGTTCAAAAGTCTGGCAGGTTCTTTGGTTCTCTCGAGAGCAGCTCGTACACGAAAAGTACCGGTAGATGGACGGCGTGGCTCGCTTTCCCGTTGGCTCTTTATCCGCCACGATCAGTGGACAGCCTATGACGTCGAAAACATGTGAGCACATGAACACGTTATTAAAAGTCTCGCCAGTTGACAACAACGGATGCTAGTATCTTTCCTTTGAGCTATCTGCCCAGTGTTCTGGATTCCTGTCTGCCAGACTGCATGAACCCTCCTCGCACTCCTGTTGATAGAGACGCCAAGGAGGCCAAGCAGGCCAAGCATCTCATTTCGCAACCTCCCCCAGAATGTCAATCCTTCACCCGACTTGCCTCCCTGGCCCCATCTCCGTTCTCCAGACACGACGCCGGGGAGCCCAACCAGATGCGAATGCGGGGGAAGTGGATGCAGGTGGAAGAAGGTGGAGAGGAAGAACGCCCTCTCTTGCTGCTTTGGTGTCTTGTCCGGAAGGGGGTTTTTGTGATGCTCACTTGCATTGTCGCTTGTAAAAGTCGCCATCGACCTGGCGAACTGGCTCGAGACCGGCAAAGTTGGCTCACTGTGGAGGCGGAGACATGCTGCGCTGCTCAGGTGAACCATGGAGGCTGGAGGCTGGTGCTCACCGCGGGAGACACTCCATGGCGCACACTTCTTTTGGAGTTCGACCGGAGCGGTCTTCCCTGCATCATTCCTCTGACCACAGGGCATATTTTAACCAAACGCTCTCGAGACGGCCTTCAGTCAGGGCTTCGTCGAGGGATACGGAGCGTTGCTGCTCATTGCGACTTTACAATCATACGGTAATCAATGCCCAAAGCGGGTACTAGACACAACCCCGTCGTTACCTGAGAGTTCGACTGCATGTATTCCCTTTTGTCTGATTCATGTTGCCAACATCAGCAATTGTCTGTAAAAGTCTGGATGCCTGATCATTTATTGCCAGCAAAGCAGGACTCTCCTAAACTCAAAGAGAGAGAGGGAAAGTCGATTTGTCATGGAAAAACGAGCAATATCAACCGATACCAAATAAGGTTAGAATAAGCTCCAAGCTTGAAAGCGATCGTTGGAGATTTTCGTCGGCGGTGACTGCCAGAAGAGGACGGGGTGAAGCCTTGCCCCACATACCCTGGGGTAAGTGCCAGGGGTCGAAGAGCTCCGGTGTGTTGACCCCTGCAACACCAATCAATTTTCGGTCACGCCCTCGGCTCCTCTTGCAACAGTTATGGAGCATATGAAAATTGGAGCTCGCCGGGGATTCCTCCACTGTTCCACCTGTTTTTGGACGACATCCCCGACTATTAGAAAATCGGACACCGGGACAGAAAGACGACGCAAACACACCGAACGGTCAAGAAGCCACAAAGCCCAATGGGCATACAGACGATTCTTGTCTCGTGAATGAGGACAAAGGTCAACCTCCAAAGTCCTGGCCTGGTGGCCATCAGCGATTCTCACATGCAAAAACAATTGAAGCAAGTCAGGTCCTGATCTCCGATTCGAGCGAACGATACAACCTCGTCTGCAACCAACACATATTGCTATGCGACTTGGCACCTCTGCAATGCGGCTAGCCAAAGAGACTATTTGTGCTTACTGCTCCTACGACGGTGGTAGGTAGACTTCGAGACCACTCCAGCCTTTTTCGATACTTTCCAAGGAATATTATTTTCAAACAATTATCAGTGGTTCAAACCAAAATTTATATTGGTGGAGCTATGCCCAATCGGTTGACTTACATGGCTTCCGGATGCGGATTGGCTCATGACGAAATGACAGGATGACCGGCTTTTCAGATTGTTTCGAGCGGACGGTTCCGGGCCTCCATCCGCACCTGTACCAGATCTCCGGAAGGAACAATAGAGAATGCCAATGGATGATATAAACAATGCCTTTGTCCGCGACACGAACTTTTCATTACCGGGCCTGACGGAAGGCCGGCAATTCGAGACCAACGACAACGACAGGCAGCCCAGCACTGAACCTCTCCAATTCACGGGACCCTCCTTGATGGAATTCCACTTGCTGAGTGCACTGATGCCAGAAAATTTTAGATTTACAACCGTCCACTGACTACTGCCGGTGCCTGGCCTGGTCTTCGGCCCTTTGTGAGTGCCCCACCTTCCCTCCTAGATGGGAATTTTAGTCAACAGCCAATCAGATGTCGAAAACTCTGTGGCACCTCGCGGCTGTCCTTGCCTCAAACTATCGTTCCAGCCACTTGGCCAGGAAAGGCGGCAGCAGTAGAGAATCCAAAATCTCCAGAATGAAAAGGGGGCCTTTGAACATCGAATCGTACGGTCAGTTAAGTTCAATGAACAATCGATGAACGAACTCTACTTTTTCGTCTTCGGCCACAACTAGCCCAGCCAAGTTCTCGTCGCACAACTTTTGCTAAAGGAAGCAAGTTCCGTTACTTATATGCCGCCAGCTTTGGCGCGAGGTAGTATGGTACAAGGTTGGAACAAGCCAGGCGCCATGTCAGTTGATTCGTTTGCGCAATGACCGTGACGTGAGAGTTGAATCTTCAGGCTTTACAAACATCGCCGCAAGGGACGACCGGTCGCGTTCAGCTGGCCGGGTTGCTGCTTCATCTTTTAGTAACTATGACGGCTGGCCCCATTTGATAAATGAACCTAAGCAGACCCTTTTCCTGCACAGATGATGTGCATGAAAAAGAAAAGGGTCCAACGGCGTAAGCCACCACCAGTTCCAATCATGCAACTGTCCTCCGCACTTTGGCTCAATGATGGCCCAAGCTCCAACTTTTCAACCTCCATCAAACACCAAAACCCGAATCGAAGTCGGCATGAATGGTATCAAGAAAAAGACCCTTCATACAGATGATGGTATGTTTTAGGACTTCTTGCGACCATTTGGCAGGCACCCAGAACGGTTCAAGTCTGACCATCCCAGAAGTGCAACCTTCTGGCACATTGAGAGGCACATCCCTCGCCACCAGCGCAACCCCCTTTTTTTCGTTGGACCCCTGATCTTAACGTCCAGCGGATGAACGGGATATTCGGGAGCTAAGACTAAGATGGTCAGCTTCGCCGAGATACGATGCACTGTCAAATTGCCTCACCAGGTTTTTCTTTGGAGAAATCGGGAAGAATGGCATCCTACGAGGCGAAGCTAAGCCGTGATGAGCGTTGTCTTTGAGGCTGCGGTAGGCGCAACGCTAGGTGACACGCTGACACGCTGACACGCTGACAACAGTGACAGTTGCAACACGGACAGTTTTCGGATTCAGATTGCCATGTCATCTCCGTAACAGTCGTTTCTGTGAATCCGAGCGTTGCACCATCTCCGATAACACAAATGCCTGATGGCTAATTTGGTACGCAGATGGCAGAAAACGGCTTTGACGCCGTGTTAAACGCGGGTAGGCGAACTAGAAGCGTCAAGGGCTCGTTTTTCGAGACGCCACGGCGTTTGAGCGACGAAGACGGTGACGACGTAAGAAACCCTTCTGCCGGTCTCACGAGCGTGGCATGTTCCGTTCTTCTCCGTGATCTACACCACCGATCCAACCTTGAGGCGCTCGTATGGGTTGAGTTAACCCACAATTACCATCTCTCGCCTTCTGCTTGGAATGCTTATCTTGCCCTTGGGAAGGGAGATACCCACAAGATGCACCGTTGATCTCGAGACATGAGTCCCTCTGTGCCTGGCTACAGCATTCTGAGGCCAAGTTTTCTTAAGCAGATCTCCTCAAGCTAACCCAAACTTAAAGCTTCTGACTGCCGGTATAACACCATATTGACGAGTGGTGAGTGCCAGCTCTGTGGCCAAACGCAACGACGAATTCAGCAAGACAAGCAAACAACCTTTCTTCTCATCGTTACGATTACCGTCTCTATCTCTGCGTGGGACGGGAAAGTCGCAATATGCTGATCAACCCAAAGCTCGCACAGCGTGACCTATTCAGGAATTCAAATCGCTAGACTCACAAACGACGTTGCTGCGTAATGGGCTCTCCGCATCTCCATCTCAGGGATCATGATCTTCACAAATCATGAAACCACGTACAGCCACCACGGGACGGAGAGCGGACAATAGGTCCGCAAATCTACATCGGTTCGTCCGACATATTTCTACAACATACACAAATGGCACTTGTGAAGCGTTACAGTTGGAGATCTGTGATGGCAAACTGAATCTCTGCGTGGTGTATAACTTTCTCCGCACTTTGTGTGTTTTTGAATGGATTGGCCCCCAACCCACGTGTCGGAAAACAATCATATGTTTTTTTCTTGACCTCGGATGCTCGGTTACAAACAAACATGCACATCTTGGGGAGATATTTCAGCCAGTTCAGCCTCTGGGTCCATCAGATGCCACTCACCACTCACCAAGGCTCTCCAAGACTCCGCCCCCGCTTCCCCAGGATCGGCCCCATTGTTGCCAAGACCTGGGGTATGCACCATCATGAGGCAAAATGAGCTTTCCTTTGTCCTTGGAAAAGGATACTTTTAAATACTTCGCTTTTTAGAGCCTCTAAGAAATCAGTAATGATCCTGATGATGTCCGTTTTTGTCGCACCCTGCCCAACCTCCCACACACACTTTCCCCGCCTTTGACGGTGTCGGATCCATCGTGGCAAGCCACACCTCCTCCACGTTCAGGCATGTGTCAAACAATGGTTGCTCAATGCAGCGCTTAGGTATTTGAATATTCTCTCAGCTCAGAGCTTGGCACGAGATGTCCACAACCCGTTCTTATCGAGACCAGCATCCCCATCAAAGATGTCTCGTTCGACTCTTCTGGAGTTGATCTGTGTATATGGCCGAGTTAGAAAGCTCATGGAAAGATGACATGTGATTGTTGATGACAGAGGAGATCTAGCTTCCATTGGAATGGGGAAAGGGGGCCACAGGGGAGAACGTATGAGTACGCCAAAGCAAAAGAAAAAAGGGGTAGACTTACGAATCGTGGGCCAAGATCGTCGATTGTCTTTGCTCCCAAGAGCTTCATGCAAGTAATGATCTCTTGCTGAAGGACTGTTTGTGTTGTTCGCAAAATGTCAGCATATCCATCGCGTGTAAAACACCAAAAACAGAGTATCATGACAGGGCGCAAAACCCGAGAGAAAAAAATAACCACTTACTCTCAAAAGTCCTCTCAACACCCTGCCACCCACTCGCGCCCAATCCCCAAAGCGCCGCCCTCCCCACGCCCACAGCCTTCGCTCCAAGACACAACGCCTTCACGGCATCCGTCCCCCTCTTGATTCCGCCATCAATCCACACCTCAACCGCCCCAAATACCTCGGGACAGTACTTGCGAATCTCTAACAGCGTATGCACCGCCGGCGGCGCCGTGTCCAGCGCTCTCCCGCCGTGATTCGACAAGATAACCGCCTTCACCGTGCCCGGGTTTTTCCTAGCATACTGCGCGGCCAGATACGCATCTTCATGCGTCTGGATGCCCTTGAGCACAATCGGCAAGTCCGTGTGCTTCGCCAGCCAAGGCAGCGTCGTCTCCCAGGTCAAGTCGGCCGCGGTGCCCCAGAAAAGCTGCTGGCCCACGCCGCCGCCGCCGGGCTTCTTCTCCGCGTCTGTCTTGGCGTTTGACGCCGACTCGACAAGCTCGCCCGCGGCTTCGAGGTTGGACTTCTCGTCGTGCTCGCGCTTGCCCGGATGCGGCGCGTCGAGCGTCAGCACGATGCACTTGAAGTGGTCGCGCAGCTTGTTGATGCGCGCCAGCATGGCTTCGGACTTCGAGCGGTTCGTCTGCACGTAAAGCTGCCACCCAAAAATGGAGCCGGGCTTGGCCTCGGCCACGATCTGCTCGGGCGTCATGGACGCGTTGTTGCTGACCAGCTGCATGGCGCCGAACGAGGAGATACCCTTGGCGATCCCCGCTTCGCCGTCCGGGTGCGCGAGACGGGCCAGCGCTGCCGGAGATACATAGAGCGGTATGCCGACCTTGTGGCTGCCTAGTAAGGTGGTGGAGGTGTCGGCTTTGGTGCAGTCGACGAAGACGCGCGGGCGCAGTAGGATGTCCCGGAAGGCCTGCGTGTTGTGGGCTTTGGTGTAGAGGTCGTCGGCAGCGGAGAAGTAGTAGGACCAGCACTTCTTGGAGACCTGGGACTTGGCCGCTGCTTCGATCTCGTCGAGGTTGAGGAGGGTGTGTAGTCGTGGTGGTGCAGGTTTTTCCGACTGCTGGGCAGAGGTGGTGTGCGTGGTGGTGCCCATGGCTGAGCCCGTGGCCTTTGCGCGGGCTTCGCTTTCTTTCTGGTGGAGCTTGGCTAGCGATTCGGCGTCGATGATGCCCAGCTTGGCCTCTGGCTTGAGGTTCTCCTCGAGCGTGCCGGGCGGGTGGATCGGATCGTACTCGGTGGTGGCATCGCGGCCGGCGAGCTGGAGGATGATCTTGTCGCCGGCTGGATGGGAGGGGAGGAACCCGGTTACGTCGTAGACATTGCCGTAGAGGACTACCCAGCAGCTCTTTGGCGATCGATGTTTGGCGACTGTGTAACAGGTTAGCCTGGGCCTGGAGAAGGAGGATTACCAAGGTGAGGGTCCGTGACATACCTTCCTCTGCCGTAAACACTTTTGGTGACTTGATCATTGTCACTGGCTGAGCTGGACTCGAGAATAAAAGAATACGATAAAGGTCAAAGGTAACGGAGCGCAAAGTCTAGCCGGAACTCATAATGCCATTGCTATATGTAGGTCTCGTAGGTGATCTCGTAGGTGGGATTCTTCCATCTTAGCCGTCCGGTCACGCGGGGTTCTTCCTGCTGTGAATCGCGTCAATCGCCTCCCCTACCGTATGTGAGTGGCTGGATCTTCCGAGAATACGATACGAATGACTGATCAGTGGTGAGAGATGCCTCTAGCGCCCAAGAAGAGCCCCTGTGTCGCATGGCATCGGGACTGGTTTTCTCCACCTCGGCGGGAGAGATTGGGGGTCACGACTCCGACAACGGGAAGATAGAAGTGTGTCGGGACGGGTGAATTACGGCCGAGACAGGTCCAGCTCTTCTCCCGAGAGGAACCAGTGTTACTTTGGTGTTTACAACTTACTCTGGTTCCCCTCCCGCATCTATAAGGTGTCGTTTCATCCTAGGTACAACTGACGCGACTTATAAAGTCGATGACGGGAACAAGGATTCGGCTTACACATGGTGTATTAAAACCATCGACTCGGTTCCCCCATGAAGCTGAGCTCCCCCCCTCAACCCCACCTATCCCCATCATCAACAACAGGCAAGGACCCCTTGTGCTCAAGTCACAACAAAACCCACGAACCCCCGGCCGGTGGAGGATGCAGGATTTGAAATCGGCCCGCCTGCGCAGGAAATCAAAACCTCCACCCGGCGGAGTTCTCCCGGCCTCAACACACTTTTTGCACACTTTTTGGTGCGGCTCCGCTCGGCGGGCGTGGCTTTTTAACTGTGTGGTGCTTTTGTTTTTGGTGCCTGGGATCGGTTTTAACCGCTGGTCAGGAACCCTTGTACGGACATCGATACCCTGAGGATGTTGTTTGCTTGCAAAAGACTCGCCGGATCGTTGCCCGCTGGGAAGTGTGGTGATCCCTGAAGCGGGACCCGGTTGCCGTACGTGCCCCGCCCCCACTACAGTGCCGTCACTGCCCGTACTTTAAGTTGCCTGCCCCGGGGCGAGTTGGCTAGGTGCTCCTACGTAAATAGCCTACAGGAGCCAGAAGGGTGCACGCCACGCGCCTGCCTCGACCTGATAACATCGCGGTGAGACACTGATAAGTAACCGGCTGCCTTGTCCAGCTGCCCGTAGTCAGCCTGCCACACCTTGATGACTGCTTTGCCTTTCGCTTCCTTTGATCCTTCCTATTTACAACATATAACATCAGCTTTTCGAGTTACTCCTGTTGCCAGCGACCCGTTCCGCTTCCGTCGATAGACAGATTGTTTCGAGCCTCAATTGGGGCTGTCCAAGGACATCACAACTTCGGACCTTATCCCGTCTGCCCGCTCGCACTTACCGATATCATTTAGCGGTAGCCGCATCCTTAATAAACAACCATACCATCGAGCATTCCATCCCATCTCTGTATACCTCAAAGTCCCAACATCTCATTTGACCATCTACTTCCGACACCTACTAGCGACGCTCGAACCACAGCACCAACGACGACGAAATGCCCAACTCGAAGCTCCGAATACTCTGCTTCGGCGACTCCCTCACCGAGGGCTACTCTGGCTGGGGCTCTCGCTTCACGCCCTACAGCACCAAACTCGGAGAGATGTTGCGTATGGCATTTCCCGATGTCGAGATGGAGATAGTAACAGACGGGCTGTCGGGTGATTTGGTGACGGGCAGAGGGTCTTTCCTACCAAGATTCAAATCACATTGTAAGTCGGCATCTTGACCCTAGAGAGCTTGGAAAACACAAAAAGCAAGGCTCAGCGCTAGCCAACCGAGTGGTAGATATTTGTGTCAAATGTCTCCTTGCTAACGTTATTATATCCAGTTCTCCCAAAGAACCCAGCAGACTACAAACCGTTCGACTGGGCCATCGTGCTCGGCGGAACCAATGACCTCGGCAGTAACATGCACCCCGAACAAATATTCGAAGCTCTCGAAGAGATGTGGGATATGGCCCTGTTCCGCAAATGCAAGGTCCTCGCCCTCACCGTGCCCGAGATCGAACTTTCCGCGGGGAGGATGAAGGAGGTATTGGACTTTAGGAGGAAAGAGTTGAACGAGATGATCAAGACCTACAAGAAGCCCAACTAGTATGTCTACTCCTCTCTCTCTCTCTCTCTCTC